TAATATATGTATATATATATATTTTGTATTTAAATAATATATAATAAAATATTTTTATGGAAGAGAAAAAAAATTTTCGGAAACACAGATAGAATTTGTTTGCATGAAACTTATTTTTCGATGTCTCCATATACATATTTTATTTTATATTTAATATAAAATATTATTTTTTATATTATTGATATTGTTATTTTTATCTAAAGAAATAGGTATTTTTCCTCAACACAACCCAGAACAAAGAATCCCAACCCCTATTGGGCCGGCCCATTAAAATTTGGATAGTCTGGCCCAGAACTATGGTAGGATAGTAAATTAATGTTAAATTATTTCTAATTTTAAAACTTAACTGTCGTCCTTAATCAGTTCACTTAAGGAATAACTGATAAATTAAACATTTATTATAGGGTGTGTTTATTTAGGGTGTATTCTTTTTTGCCAAAAATAATATACACATTTTTTAAAAAAAATTTAATACATCAACACATATTTTATTATTTTTATATTATTTACACAATTTTCTATATTTTATATTAAAACACATCATTTCAAACCATTTTACAAAACAAACACACCATTAGTATTTCAGTTTGACATTTATATATATATATATATTTTTTTAGTATGAACAATTTTATCTTTAATATAGTATATATATTTGGATAATCATATATGTAAATTGTTATTTGATAAATACACACTGAATATTTTGGAGTTTCCCTCTCGTCACAAATTTCTTTATTTATATATATTTATATATATATATAACAATTTATTAATTGCGTAGTTACGTTGTATCATTATATCACATATTTGTAAAAGAATATTACTCAATTAGTCTCAAATCAAATAATCTTTGAGATTTTTATAAGCTTTTAAGATAATACTATGTTTACATATGGATTTCTAGCCGTTCCATTCCATTTAGGATTAGGAATAGGTCTATTTGGACCTGCTTTTTCCGTATCTCTCATTAATTTTACTATTTTTGTTATTTGTATTTTATGTATAAATTAATTGAATGTTTGAATGGTATATTTATAATTTATATATAAAAAAATAGCATTAGTTTGAAATTACACTTAATATAATAAAATAATATATATCCTTTCGTATGACAAACCAAAATGATAAAATTGTATTTTTTAATTATGACGGAGTGAGTATCACTTTTAAGGAGAAACAAGTTGATGCGAGATTACCTTTAGACACCAATTTTGAATATTTTAGAACTATTTATATAGTAAATTCTTTTATAAAATATTATATAAAGAATATTATTACATTCTATCTATTTATATCACATTAGAAAAAAAAATTATAAATTTGATTTGATATAACTTCTATATGACTTTAATCATTTTTCTTAATGTTGCTTGAAACTAGTCATATTTTTTTTGGATGTTTTGTGTGTGTGTGGTTTTTTTTTTTTTATTAGTTTGAGAAAATTTTTAATTTAGTTTGAATTTAGTATTAAAATAATATTTGATAAGTATTTTATATAAAAATATTATATATTTTTTAGAGAATACAAATCTAAATAATAAAAAATCGAAAGTTTAGATTAAAAAAAAAAAAAAAAAGGATACCTTGGTATCTAGGGTGTTTCTTTATAATTTTGTCAGTATTTAATCAATTTCTTATAAATATATATATTTATAATAAAATACTATTATATCTAAATCTATCTTAAAATAAATAACTAAAAATAAATAAAAACTCATTCATTGTCCATTTATATAGTTTTGGATGCAAAAACTATACGGCTCTATTTATTAATTTATATATATATATATATATTTTGAAAATTATATTGGGTTTGATTGTTCAATATTTTTTAAATTATAATATACTTTTTTTTTTTATGTAAACTATAGAAAATTATATAGATAACATAAAAATAATAAATTTGTGTAATGTATTAATTCTTTTTGAAAAAATAAATAGAAATAATAAATTTGAGTTTTGGTTTTGAATAGTAAAATTTTGAATTATAATAGTTGTTTGATGTGACGTAATTATGTATTGATGTGATTTTTTGAATGTAAAAATCAATTTTAGTGTAATATAATAAATAGAAAATAAATGTTTGATTTAATATTTTTATAAAAAAAAATTAAAATAATAAAACCTAAAATCAAATATCACAAATAAACACACTCGATCATATTTAATATTATAATATTATTTATTATATTAACTATACAATTTCTTATATCTTAAAAAAAAAAAAAAAATCAAAATATGAAACAAACAAACTCATTATTATTAACATTATATATATATTTTTAAAAAAACTATTATTATTATTATTATATATTTTAAATTTTCGAATATTCCTGAAGCATCTGTCTAACCCGAGCCTAACATTTGTGTATATGTAACCCATTGAAAATTGACCATATTTTCTGGCAAGTCAACTTCAGGACCAGGGTCCGATGCCCATACACGATACGGTCACGTGCACTTTTTTTTTTTTTTTTTTTTTTTCATTTTTTTTAAAGAATTAAAAATTGATCATAATATAAGCTATTTTCCGAAGGAAAATAAATTCAAATAAATGATATTCACGCTTAAAAATTAGAAATATTCTACATATTGTTGATTGATTAATTATTATTGAAACCCTACCCAAAGTGGCAACGTATGTTCTTTTGGAGGATTTATCATGATTTTTATTATCTATTCAATTTTTTTTAAAAAAATTAAATTAAATATTTAATTTTTATATTTTTTATATTATACTATTAAAAATAAATTTTATATTCAAAACGTATATTATATCATACAATTGTTACCGTTTAAAATTCTTACTATCCAAATTTCAATTCAAAAATTCAAACCACTGGACAGACACACTGAAGAAATGGGCGAGGCGAGGAATGCATGCATACACCTAACTCCAAACCACACAATTATAATAAAAGTCAATAATTGCTCACCTACACACTTCAATTGCCTCACCCCAACCCACCTCACCCCTTGTGAATTCTCCATTTTACCCCTTCATTTATTGTTATTTTTTTGATTTAATTAATTTATTCGATTTTTTGGCTCGATAGCTATTCCTGTTGATACTAAAAGAATAAATGGCAGCAGAAAAATCATGAACTACCAAATACCCAATTGCACCAATTAATGACCTAATTAGTAATTGAAATACTCATTCAAAAGAAAAGAAAGATTATAATACTCCACCTCATTTCAATATTTTTGTTATATTTACTGACGTGATATTTTATGTAAGTATAGTTTTAATAATCTTATAAACTATACTCCTAATGGTAAAAAAAATGACAAAATGGATATAAGTAAAGAAAAATTATATAAATATTATCCACAAGCATATATCATATAGACATTGATTACTAAATTGAAAAAAAAAAAATCACACTATTTTAATAATGTGTTCAGTTACGGAACTAAAAATTAGTTTACCCGAATAATAAATAAATAATAAAAAGACATATAAAATACAAATACACACCCTGCCATGCACCCTCACACATATTTTTTTCGATAATAATAATAATTGCCAGACATTTATGCGGTAATATGAAATTGAAATGATATATAAACGCGCAACACGTGGACGGCAGGTGGCTTAACCCAAACCAAAAATGCCTTTTTCAAAGGTCAGCTATTTTTTTTTGGATCTCATATGGTACTTTTATTTATCATCTTTTTTTAAACCTCAAGTCCAGAAGCAGTGTACTTGTGAACAACACTATTTGGCTCTATTCTTTTAAAATTTGAATTCACTTTTGCTACTTACAACTTCGATTCTTTAAGAAAATATATTATTTATTTTATAAAAAATTCAATTCAAATTAAAATTAAAAATTAAAAATTTGGATTTTATCTTTCAATTAAATTTAAATTATATATTTAAATAAAAAACCACTATTTTTTTTCAAATACGATCTATGCATGTTTATTTGGATTTGAATGGAGAAAGTTTGATTTAAATGGTATATCTAAATAATATTTTATATAATATTTTGTAAATACATATATATTTTTTAAAAAATATAAGTCAAAATAGTAAAATTTGATTAATATTGTTTCATTTTTTTATTTACGCTTTTCAAAAGAATATACTAGTATATATATATATATATTTATAACAAAAAACATAGAACACGAGATTAATGAATTTGTCGGGTTTGGTTTGAGGTTATAATTTGAATTTTAATTTAGATATTATTTTGATATAATTTTTTAAAATAAAAATTTTGATGTAATTTTTTACAATAAAAATATTACATTATTATTATAATTTGAGTTTGATACCCAAAGTAAACACACCCACAGATCGACAAATCAAACACCAATAGATGATTACCCATTTATTTTAAATAATTAAATCAATATTTATTTATTGGATTATTATTGATATACTCTATCTAGTGTGCAGCTGCGCAAATCTCAAAAAAGGAATAAAAGAAATAAAAAAATCGCTTTACATCATTTACACAATTGAATTTAGTGTCTTGATTTCTAATATAGTATTATAAAATTGATAAATAAAATGCATTAAAATAATTTATTTAATTAAAAAAAATCGCATTACATCATTTATACAATTGAATTTTTAGTGTATTGATTTCTAATATAGTATTATAAAATTGATAAATAAAATGAATTACAAATATTTCATTTACTCTATCTTGGGCTTACCGAAGAGAAGTTACTATAAATGTGCAAAAACAAATAAAAAGGTGGGGCCCAATGCATGTATCAACAGGCAGAGGTATTCATAATTCAATTCCCAGAATAAAAAAAAAAAAGAAAAAAGAAAAAAAGAAAATTAGTTGTGGAAGGTTGGAGGTAGATGGGGAAACGGGAGTTGTACTGTATGCATATATGTGTTTGTACAGTGTGTTGTGGAAGCATATAGTAATAATAATATTTAATTAATACTATAGTATAGTGTAATTGCAACGGGAGAGATTGCTGTGAGAATGGGTAGGCGAAGGCGTAGGCGGGTGGCACGTGCCGGCTTTGATTGACTGATTAATTTGAAGGAGAGCGAGAATGGCAGGGAGCGAGCGAGGTCCCCTTCTTCCCCACACCCACACCCACTCCTACGGCCCTACCCCTTCAAGAGTGATGACGGCATTTATTGTTGAAGCTTCTAACCAATCCGAACCAAATTCACAACAAAGAAACTCAATATAGGCGCCCCACACCACCTCCATATCTACTTCGTCTACTTCGCCTTCCCAAATCTATCACTGCTTTCTTTTTTTCTTTTGTTTCTGCTGCTGATCATCAGTGTCATTGAAATGTCCTTGGTCGGGAATTAGACTTGCGTGCGCAGCGCAGTGTAGCGCAGTCATAGTACCCCACTGCCCCCCGATTTGCATGTGGTGAAATTTATCTGTCTCTTTTTGGGGGCTAATGATCTCTTGTTTCTGGTGAAACTACTGGTCTCTAATACTTCTTGTGACCGACCAATCGAGTTGAGGACAGCAGAGAGAGAGAGAAAGACAGAGAGAGGGTTTGTTTGTTTCTGTGTTTATGCGTCTGGGCCCTTCTTATAGAGGTGAGTTGGAGGCTTTGATTGTGGTGTCCTTTTTATTTTTTATTTCTTCTGGGGATTCTATTTTGGGATTGTGCTGGAAAGGTTCTGGAGGCTTTAGGATTTCTTTCTGTGTGAGTATTCAGTTGATTGAGTTCCTTCGTTGCTTTGGATGTGTGATGGATTCGGTTTTGCTGTGTTTCTTGCGTTTCTGATCTTTGATGAGTCGTTCTTTTTCTCTGTGCAATACATATGGTTTTTTAAGCTTCTTGTTTTAGCTAGTGTTGGTTGCAGAGCATCTTATTTTGGTCAATGGAAGTGTAGGGAAGAAAATCATATCTGCAATCATTGTTGAGCAGATTATTGCTTCTTGTAAAGTGCAGGTTTTGATTTCTGTTTAGCTTTCAGACATGAACTTAATTGGTGTCTTTCTCATGTTTATATTCTCCTTCCTTTTTTTTTTCCTCCAATCATTTGCATAAAAGTTGGTTTAAAAATCATTAGGCCTTTGGTAGATCTAATGTCAGTGGTTTTAGTTAGGCTGTTATAGCTACTAAGTTTTGTACCAATTTTAATACAGTGATCCCAGTTGATTGATCTTGTGAAACATGTTTGAATTTTTAGGAACCACAAGATGTCAGAAGCCCAAAGGAGGCCGATTTCCGTTGGATTAAAGCCTTTGAATGGGCTGCTCAACGGGTCTCCTCTAGCAAGACCTCCAAGTATGGTACATCTGGTGGAGGAATTCTGTCAAGCCCTTGGTGGGAAGAGGCCAATTAACAGTATTCTGATTGCCAACAATGGAATGGCAGCTGTTAAATTTATACGAAGCATTAGAGCATGGGCTTATGAGACATTCGGTACAGAGAAAGCAATTTTATTGGTGGCAATGGCTACACCGGAGGATATGAGAATTAATGCAGAGCACATTAGGATAGCAGATCAGTTTGTAGAAGTGCCTGGCGGAACTAACAATAACAACTATGCTAATGTGCAACTCATTGTTGAGGTCTGTGAATGTGGCATTGCTTATATCTTTATTAGTTTGATTTGCAAATTTGGTAAGTTTACCGGACGTAACAGCTTGTACATGGAAATTTTGGTGTCAATGTATGTGTTAAATGAGTTTTGAAAGGTCTCATTTGCAATCCAAATGCTTAAAATAAAAAGCTTTGGCGAAACTGGCAGAAAATAGATCTTGTAAGCACAATATCCAGGGGTAATGCAAACTGCATATAAATGGTAATAAGAAAGATGAACAATAATAATAAGTCACTGAGTTGTAAATAGTACATTTCCTTCTTTTGCAGATGGCTGAGATAACCCATGTTGATGCTGTGTGGCCTGGTTGGGGTCATGCATCTGAAAATCCAGAGCTACCTGATGCTTTAGGTGCAAAAGGCATTGTATTTCTTGGCCCGTCATCTGGATCAATGGCTGCATTGGGGGATAAAATTGGGTCCTCTTTGATTGCACAAGCTGCAGAAGTGCCGACGCTTCCATGGAGTGGCTCTCATGTAAAGTCTTGCTGATCATGAAGCTTATACCCTTAGCTTTCTTCATATATTCTCTCATATACTGTACACCATGTTTTAGGTGAAAATCCCTCCGGATAGCTCTTTGATCAGTATTCCAGATGCCATATATCGTGAAGCATGTGTTTATACAACAGAAGAAGCGATTGCAAGCTGTCAAGTTGTGGGCTACCCTGCTATGATCAAGGCATCTTGGGGTGGAGGCGGAAAGGGCATAAGAAAGGTCTGATTCTGAGCATACTTTTGATGAAATATGTGTTTTGCGCTGCACACATTTTTGTGATTGAACTGTCTCCTTTTGTGAAGTGTGACGGTTCATTAATCTTTTGTGCTTCTGGTGATGCAATGACATGGAGGTATAATGAGACTTTCAGGTTCACAATGATGACGAGGTCAGGGCTCTATTCAAGCAAGTTCAGGGTGAAGTCCCTGGCTCCCCCATATTTATCATGAAAGTTGCTTCCCAGGTCTGAGTCACATTATTCAAATACTGAGGAATAAAGTATTGAACACCTTTTCTAACACTACACATTGTTCCTCAGAGTCGGCATCTTGAAGTCCAGCTGCTTTGTGATCAATATGGGAACGTTGCTGCTTTGCACAGCCGTGATTGCAGTGTTCAAAGAAGGCACCAAAAGGTTAGCTGCTTCGTCACTTGTCAATGGGATAAGTATTGTGGTTTATGGCCGCATTTAAATTACTGGCATATTGCATGACTCGTTCCATGTCATCTATTACATCATTTGAAAATAACAGTTGGACTTCATTTTTTTGTTTCAGTTAAATTCTTTTTTTGTTTATTTAAATATTCATGTTACTTTTAGATCATTGAGGAGGGTCCAATTACTGTTGCTCCCCTTGAGACAACAAAGAAGCTTGAACAGGCTGCCCGAAGGTTGGCCAAAAGTGTAAATTATGTTGGAGCTGCAACTGTGGAGTACTTATACAGTATGGAAACCGGGGAGTATTACTTTCTGGAACTAAACCCTCGACTGCAGGTTTTTATTCCTTTACATAATACAAACAGGAACACAATTGATTTCTATCTAGCACACATTTATCAAACTGATACGTCTAAACATGCGAAGAGCACTAATGGCTGTCATTATGACAGTCTTTTTATTTTTAAGCTATTAGGATTAATAGAGGAACTGGGATACAATTTGATCTTATGTATTTATTTCTTGTGATTGGACAAGTTTACAAGGACTTATATTCTGTTCTAATGATTTAGGTCGAGCACCCTGTCACCGAGTGGATAGCTGAGATTAATCTTCCTGCGGCACAAGTTGCTGTTGGGATGGGTATCCCACTGTGGCAAATTCCAGGTTTGTTTTTGAAAATTTGAACATCTAAAACCTTTTTACTTATGATATATTTGTTGATAGCTTTCTCTTGTGCTAATGGATATCAGAAATCCGGAGGTTTTATGGAATGGAGCATGGTGGAGGATATGATGCTTGGAGAAAAACATCAGCTGTTTCCACTCAATTCGACTTTGACATGGCTGAGTCAACAAGACCCAAAGGTCATTGTGTGGCGGTACGTGTGACAAGTGAAGATCCTGACGATGGTTTTAAGCCAACAAGTGGAAGAGTACAGGTCATTATTTCTGAGACTCAAACATGTGTGATATCTGTTCTAAGAGTTGCATCCCCATTATGATATTCATCAGTTTTCATTTATTTTGAGCAGGAGCTAAGTTTCAAAAGTAAGCCAAATGTGTGGGCATACTTCTCCGTCAAGGTATGCATAAATATTTTATTTTCCTAAAAACTTTCAAATTCAAAGATAGCTCTAATTATCATCTTAATGATGCAGTCTGGCGGAGGCATTCATGAGTATTCAGATTCCCAATTTGGTAAGTTTTTAGGTTTGAATGATTGCTTTTCTCAAACACCTTAAGGCGCCCTCACACCCACACATTTTCTCTACAGTAGGTTACCCTATTGGCAGGTTATGTGTATATTTCAATCTTGAGTTTTAAGTTTTATTCTTCAGTAGCATATTGTGGACCTATGAGTTCCACGCCACTTTTGGGCTATGATTTATTTACTGGAAATATTTATCTTCATAAGACATTGTGTGTGCTTCTATATGACCTCAATTGGCTTTTGAACATAGAAGATATAACATCAACATACCAAGTCAGTATATTGATATACTTAAGCACTACCACCAATGACTTTTAAGAATATATCGACATTGTGCATGAGTAGCAAATGTTTGAATATTGAGAGGCAGTTTGTCTTCCTGCTAAAGTAAATTTTCTATTACCTCAGGCCATGTGTTTGCTTTTGGAGAATCCCGAGCTTTGGCCATTGCCAATATGGTCCTTGGACTAAAAGAAATCCAAATAAGAGGAGAGATCCGAACCAATGTTGATTACTCGATTGATCTCTTGCATGTAAGAATCATGTCTTCAAAACCATGATTTAGGTAAGCCCATGTAAGGTGATTTGAGTGGATAGTGGCTAATAATTATCGAAAACTTTTGCAGGATTTAGATTACAAGGAAAATAGAATCCACACAGGATGGCTAGATAGCAGAATTGCAATGAGGGTCAGAGCAGAAAGGCCACCCTGGTATCTTTCGGTAGTTGGAGGAGCTCTTTATGTACGTATTGCCTTCTTAGTCATGTTCTTCTGACGTCTTTCCTTCGTTATTATGTGCTAGCATTTTAAAATTCTCATAGTAATGTGTTTTCTCCATACTGTAAAATCAGAAAGCTTCTGCAAGTAGTGCAGCTATGGTTTCAGAATATGTTGGTTACCTTGAAAAGGGGCAGATTCCTCCCAAGGTACTTTGGGTTCCATGTTAGTTGAAGCTAGGTCTTACTTCCTTTAATGTATCATCTAATTGATACCTTCTTCTTGCAGCATATTTCACTAGTTAATTCTCAAGTTTCGTTGAATATTGAAGGAAGCAAATATACAGTAAGTTGCAAACATTTACATTGAATATTAACTTAATGTCAGCTTGCTTCCTAACCTCTTGTAATGGGCTTGGAATAATTTTGACATTTTTTATTTCTCTGGGAATGAAATAATAATTAGATGGCTTGTCTGATTTTGTGTTTCATTTATTTATTCTTATTCTTATGATATGTTTTACAACTTTTGTCTAATTTAGATCAATATGGTAAGAGGAGGGCCAGGAAGCTATAGATTGAGGATGAATGATTCTGAGATTGAAGCAGAAATACATACTCTACGAGATGGAGGTCTGCTGTTGCAGGCAAGGGTTTAATTATCTAGAACATCAACACATTGTGATAATTGTGCCATTTCTCTGCTGTAAAGATGCAATTCCATATATTAGTACATTACCTTCACATTTTAAAACTGGAGGTTGGTAATGTGATTGTGCAGCTGGATGGAAACAGCCATGTTATATATGCAGAAGAGGAAGCAGCTGGAACTCGTCTTCTTATTGATGGAAGGACTTGTTTGCTGCAGGTTCCATTTGGTCTTACTGATGTATCAGTGAAGTCCTTTCAGGTTTTTGAGAGATTTAATCAATTTGCTATGTATCCAGAATGACCACGATCCCTCAAAGTTGGTCGCCGAAACACCATGCAAGCTACTTAGGTATCTGGTTACAGATGGCAGCCATGTTGATGCTGACACACCTTATGCTGAAGTTGAAGTAATGAAAATGTGTATGCCCCTTCGTTCACCTGCTTCCGGAAGAATACATTTTACAATGTCAGAGGGCCAAGCTATGCAGGTAAAGTTGTTTGAAGAAGAGATATAGCTCTTCGCTTCTAAAGAGCAACTACGTAACATATTATTTTGTAGGCTGGTGCCCTTATAGCAAGGCTCGACTTAGATGATCCTTCAGCTGTGAGGAAAGCAGAACCTTTCCATGGTGGTTTTCCCATCCTAGGGCCCCCAACAGCTATATCTGATAAAGTTCATCAGCGTTGTGCTGCAAGTTTAAATGCAGCTCGTATGATTATTGCAGGATACGAACATAATATTGACCAGGTAAAGTTATCTTTGCAATTACAGATTGCAGAAAGACATTGTACAAACTTACATGTTTTTATGTGCTCGTGTGCACATGACTCCTTTGGAAGGACTCTTTGATTAATAGACTGAAATTTTCATTTCAGGTAGTTCAAAACTTGCTTAGTTGCTTGGACAATCCTGAGCTCCCTTTCCTTCAGTGGCAAGAATGCTATGCAGTTCTAGCAAACAGACTACCTAAGGATCTCAAATATGAGGTTGAACTAAGAAGGAAGCTGAAGCCATTGTATTCAAACAAATATTTGTTTGTACTTCAGCTTTAAATTTGCATGTTCTTTTGCAGTTGGAAACAAGATACAAAGAATTTGAGGGAATTTCCAATATGCAAAATGTTGAATTCCCTGCAAAAACTTTACGTTGTATTCTGGAGGTTAGTCTCTTTTTTCTAGTTGAAAACATACATCTCTCTCTCACACACACATATGATTTAATGATTTTTCTATGCAATTTTGTGCTCTTAAGGCACATTTGAGTTACTGTCCTGAGAAAGAAAAAGGAGCCCAAGAACGATTGGTTGAACCTCTCATGAGTCTTGTTAAGTCCTATGAGCGAGGCCGAGAAAGCCATGCTAGGATCATAGTACAAGGCCTTTTTGAAGACTATTTAAGTGTGGAAGAATTGTTTAACGACAACATAGAGGTAAGATTTATTTGTGTAGTTTTGTTCAGGAGCCACTATATAAACAGTTTTTCTATTATTTGTTTAATTTTCCTCTCTCGGGTTTCCACTTTCCATGTCCTATCCTTCAGATTTATGATTTATGCTGTATGTGGAGAAGTGCTTATTTCTTCATCCTCCCATACCAATTTGTAATAGTTGAAAAATCTGAAAAGTAATTAGTAAAACATGGACAATTTGCACAAGCTTTATTCTTTTCTCGAAATGCAGTTAAATGAATCTTCTCCTTTCAGGCTGATGTGATTGAACGATTAAGACTTCAATATAAGAAGGATCTCCTGAAAATCGTGGACATTGTACTTTCCCATCAGGTATAGCCTATATTATCAAACACACATCAACTGTTCCTGCCGAGATTACTCATATAAAAGAATCTTCTATGAAATTCTTTTTAGGGTGTTAAGCGGAAGAGTAAGCTTATACTGCGCCTGATGGAACACCTTGTGTATCCAAATCCTGCTGCATATCGTGATCAATTAATACGCTTTTCGGTTCTCAACCATACAAACTACTCAGAGGTTTGTTTTTCCACTCAGTCATTTTTCCCACTAAACCAAGTTTTCTTGTAGGCGTTTTCTGTTTGATGTCTGGTCACCCAGAAGTTTTGACATGAAAATTGCATTGGCTCTGTTTGTTTTCTTTTGTTGTTCCATCCACTACTAATCCTTTTAACATTCTGTTTATGTGTTTCTTCTTGTTTCATGGTGTTCTGATCATAAAAAATACCTATGCAGTTAGCACTGAAGGCAAGTCAACTGCTGGAGCAGACAAAACTTAGTGAGCTTCGATCCTGTATTGCTAGAAGTCTTTCAGAGTTAGAAATGTTTACTGAAGATGGTGAGAACATGGATACTCCTAAGAGGAAAAGTGCAATAAATGACCGAATGGAAGCTCTTGTGCATGGTCCTATGGCTGTTGAAGATGCACTGGTCGGTCTGTTTGATCACAGTGATCACACACTTCAGCGAAGAGTTGTTGAAACTTATGTGCGAAGATTATATCAGGTACAATTATTCAATGTCTGGAAAGTGATCTGCTGAATGAGTTTTGGATTTTTCTTGCTAATGCTTTGCTTCTATCCTCAGCCCTATCTTGTAAAGGGCAGTATCAGAATGCAATGGCACAGATCGGGGCTTATAGCATCATGGGAATTCTTGGATGGGCATGTACAACGGAAGAACATATCTGAATATGAACTGTCAGATGAACCAGCCTGTGATAAGTGGAACGAAAGGAAGTGGGGTGCAATGGTTGTTATTAAATCTCTCCATTTCTTGCCTACAGTGGTAACAGCTGCACTGAAGGAAGCCACCCAAAACCTGCAATCTGTAATTCCTAATGGATCTCTTCATCCGGCCACTTATGATAATATGATGCACATTGCATTGGCGGGCTTTGACAACCAAATGAGTTTGCTTCAGGACAGGTACTGTACATGGCCGTAATAGACTGATAAGTTCTCCTACTGAGCTGCAGAATGATTCATATATAGTTGCAGTTAATATTTCTACTCTGGCCTCTTGTACATTGATAATTAGCTAACCATGTCCTTGACATGATTTAAGTTCTGATCACCCTGATCAATGATAATTATCCAGCATTCAACTCCTTATTAGCTCTAGGAAACTTGATATCAAGATAATGTTCTCTTTCAACATATTATTTTTATTGTCTTTGATCTCTTATTTTGCTTTGCTAATATTTGAATTTCACATCTTTTCAAAATTGCACTCATTGAAAGCATCAAATATCCCTTATACAGATGAATAATAATATTACATGTAACTTTAGAAAAAAGAATCGTCACATAAATCTATGTGCACTGGGAGGACTAAAGATTAAATACTATGCAAGTTCCCTCTCTAACAACTTAAGCTCTGTTGGATGAGTGACCATTCAATATTTTAAACTCTTTTTAGCTGCATAGATGAATTAGTAAAATCACTTCTGCTTTATTAGTTTTCATTTTATAATCTGTTAATGGAAGTTTGCATTTGGTGCTTTTCCTTACACCTCAATCAGTGGTGATGAGGACCAGGCTCAAGAGAGAATCAACAAGTTAGCCAAAATATTGAAGGAGAAAGAAGTAAGTTCCAGTCTCAGAAATGCTGGAGTGGGTGTGGTTAGTTGCATCATACAGAGAGACGAAGGCCGTGGACCTATGAGGCACTCCTTCCACTGGTCAGCTGAAAAACAATATTACGAAGAGGAACCTCAGTTGCGGCACTTAGATCCTCCTCTATCCATATACCTTGAGCTGGTTGGTCTCTTTTCAGGTTTTAGATATATTCTTATTTATCATAATTGATGTTTCTATCTAACAATTTACTGTCAACAGGAAAAACTAAAAGAATATGCAAATATACGTTATACTCCTTCTCGGGATAGGCAATGGCACCTTTACACTGTAATGGACAAGCCACTTCCCATCCAAAGGATGTTTCTCAGAACACTTGTCAGGCAGCCCATATCGAATGAAGGCCTTACTGGATATCGGGGCCTGGAAGAGGGAACAACTCATTCATTGTGGGGTCTGTCTTTCACTTCAAGGAGCATTTTGAGGTCCTTAACATCTGCTATGGAGGAGCTTGAACTCAATGCCCATAATTCTGCCATCAAATCGGAGCATGCACATATGTACCTACACATTTTACAGGAGCAACAAATAAATGATCTTTTGCCATACCACAAGTAAGATTATTCTCTTAGCTGAGTTGTTCTCTTTCATTTGGCCTAAAATATAAATGTTGACTGTTTTGTGTCATTTCCAGAATAGCAGATATATCTGTTGGCCATGAGGAAGCTGCAGTGGCAAAAATTCTGGATGACCTCGCACATGAAATTAATGCATCTGTTGGCGTCAAAATGCATCGGTTGGGTGTTTGCGAGTGGGAAGTTAAACTTTGGATATCCTCTGAAGGAGACGCTAACGGCGCATGGAGAGTTGTAGTCACCAATGTGACTGGTCACACGTGCATTGTGCACGTAAGTCATTTAAAAGTGCTAGTTCTAAAATTTTAAATTATGGTGTGTTTGGTACAAGTTATGTTAATATAACATGTTCTGTGTTTAACCTTCAGGTTTATAGAGAAGTTGAGGATTCCAGCAAACAGAGTGTAGTTTACCATTCCATTTCCGGGCAAGCCCCTTTACATGGGTTGCCGGTGAATGCACAATATAAACCATTGGGAGTACTTGATCAGAAGCGTCTACTAGCCCGGAGAAGCAACACTACCTATTGCTATGATTTTCCACTGGTACATGTCTGCTCTTTCACTTAGATTTTGAGATTTGAGTTTTAATCTTTTAGACATCTAAGAGTCTTTTTTGCAGGCATTTGAAGCTGCTCTGAACAAATCATGGGCCGAGCTTCCCGGGATTAGCAAGCCTAAAGATAAACCAGTGCTCCGAGTCACAGAGTTAATTTTTGCTGACAAGGAGGGTTCATGGGGCACTCCTCTTATTCCGGTTGATCGACAGATTGCAGTTAATGATATTGGAATGGTAGCCTGGCACATGGAAATGTCAACACCTGAATTTCCTGCTGGAAGGTCTGTCTTCATTGTATCAAATGATGTGACCTTTAGAAATGGTTCCTTCGGCCCCAGAGAGGATGCATTTTTCCAGGCGGTGACCAATATCGCTTGTGCACAGAAAACACCGCTTATTTATCTTGCAGCAAACTCAGGTGCCCGTATCGGTGTAGCTGAGGAAGTAAAATCTTGCTTTAAAGTTGGTTGGTCCGATGAAACAAACCCTGATCGTGGTTTTCAATATGTCTACTTAGCGCCTGACGATTACGATCGCATTGCAACTTCAGTGATAGCTCATGAGTTAAAGCTCCCAAGCGGAGAAGTTCGATGGGTAATTGATTCTATCGTAGGAAGGGAAGATGGTTTAGGAGTTGAAAGCTTAACTGGCAGTGGTGCCATTGCTAGTGCATATTCAAGGGCTTATCATGAAACATTTACTGTAACATATGTCACCGGAAGAACTGTTGGCATTGGTGCTTATCTTTCTCGGCTAGGTATGCGGTGCATACAGAGGCTCGATCAACCAATCATTCTGACAGGCTTCTCAGCACTGAACAAGCTTCTGGGTCGGGAAGTGTACAGCTCCCACATGCAACTCGGCGGGCCTAAAATTATGGCAACAAACGGAGTTGTACATCTTACAGTGTCAGATGATCTTGAAGGCGTAACAGCTATTTTAAAGTGGCTGAGCTTCGTTCCACCTTATGTGGGCGGTCCACTTCCTATTTTGAGGCCGCTGGATTCTCCTGATCGGCCGGTTGAATATCTACCAGAGACGTCGTGTGATCCCCGTGCAGCTATATGTGGTGCTGTGGATGGCTTGGGGAGATGGCTTGGAGGCTTATTTGACAGGGACACATTTATCGAAACATTGGAGGGGTGGGCGAGAACGGTTGTGACAGGCCGCGCAAAACTTGGAGGCATACCGGTGGGAATCGTTGCTGTGGAGACACAGACTATGATGCAGGTAATCCCTGCGGATCCCGGGCAGCTGGATTCGCACGAAAGAGTTGTTCCACAAGCAGGGCAGGTGTGGTTTCCCGACTCTGCAACGAAGACTGCTCAAGCACTGATGGATTTCAACAGAGAAGAACTGCCGCTCTTTATTCTCGCAAACTGGAGAGGCTTTTCGGGCGGGCAGCGCGACCTATTCGAAGGTATTCTGCAGGCGGGATCGACTATTGTTGAGAATCTCAGAGTGTACCAGCAGCCTGTTTTCATATACATTCCTATGATGGGCGAGCTCCGCGGTGGGGCTTGGGTGGTCATCGACAGCAAGATCAATCCTGATCACATCGAAATGTATGCAGAGAAAACGGCCAAAGGGAACGTTCTTGAGCCTGAAGGTTTGATTGAGATCAAGTTCCGGAATAGAGAGCTGCTGCAATGTATGGGCCGGCTTGACCCACAGCTAATCAATCTGAAGTCTAGACTTCAGGAAGCCGGCACCACGGCAGCTGCTGAAGACTTAAAGAGGCAGATAAAAGCGCGGGAAAATAAACTCCTCCCTTTATACACTCAGATAGCTACGAAATTTGCAGAGCTCCACGACACGTCGCTCAGAATGGCTGCCAAAGGGGTGATAGAAGAAGTTGTTGAATGGTCAAAGTCCCGGTCGTTCTTCTACCAGAGATTGCACCGGAGGGTTGTTGAGGATGCATTGATCAAGACCGTTAAGGATGCTGCTGGTCAGCTGCTCGATTATAAATCTGCCAGGGACACGATCAGGAGATGGTTCTTGAACTCGGAGATTGCTGGACGCAATGAAGGTTCTTGGATGGATGACGAAGCTTTCTTCTCGTGGCAGGTGGACGCCAAAAATTATGAAGATAAATTGCAGGAACTGCGTGTGCAGAAGATGCTGCTTCAGCTGTCCGACATGGGGAATTCCTCGGCGGGTCTACGCACGCTGTCTCGAGCCCTTTCGAACTTCCTGAAAACGGTAAACCATTCGATTGATCATACTTTACTTTGTCATCTGTCCGGATTGGTTGTTTTGTGTTAACTCATTTCTTGCTTTCGACTGCAGACGGATCCTTCCGTTCGAGATCAATTCGCAGAAGATCTACGAGAGGTTCTCCAGTGATTGTGATTCATCATTGATCGTCATCATCATTCAGCTGTGTGTAATTTTCAAACTCGTATATATAATAGATATATATAGATATATATACATGGTAGAACAGACTTGGAGAGTTCTTTGTTGTGCAGTGCAGCTAAAGTCCATGAATTATTTGGCCTGAAATGTCTGTTGTATTTTATGTACTGTGAGAGAGTTGTAAGAGATGTTATTTATCATTTTATTGTTTCTTTTCAATATTAGATGAATAAAGATTCAAGCCTCTGTTTACCTTATACATTTTCAATCATTCGCCTTATTCACTTTTTTTCAAAAGTCACTGTATCAAATATATATATTTTATTTCACAAAATATCGCATTAAATATTAATATTTTATTTTTTTTTCAAATTTTTAAAATTTCAAAAATCTTCAAAATTTCATATCTAAAGCCTCCATCTTTTATATTATTCACCCTCGTCCGCTGCTGTGTTATTTTTACCAATTTTGAAATAAGTTTTTTTATTTATTTTTTACAAAATATTTCTATCACACATTATTTTAATATTAAAATTAAATTAAATTTTTTCAAAAAAAAATAAAAAAAAAACACACCCTTATTTATCACTACACCCAAAATGATTAATAAAAAATAAAATAAAAATACGACCAGTCAGCAATGATATAAATAAAACGAATTACTATTAATTTAGTGATATACTGTATTTTATTGTGAAGCAGTGATTACAATTGGGTGAAGGGTAATTAATCTGGAAGCATCCTTAGAACCTAAGAAAACGCTTCGTCACGCTGTGGGAACGCTGATAGTTGTTGTCTGCGTATTTTCGTGAGTATATATATATATTTGTGTATTTTCTCTGCACAGAAATATCTCGCAAAGGTTGTCGATCTGCTCAATCTACTCTCGGAGAAGCTATTGGAATTTGAGTAAGGATTGTCAATCATGTCTATGCTCGATTCCTTCTTCAAACAGCGTTTCAACGCTGCCAAATGGTGATCCCTCATGTTCTTATCCTCTTTGATTTGATTTGATTTGTGCGAATTTGTCCAGGTTTTTCTGTTGATCTCGTTTTGATGATCGCTTGTGATGATTAGTAGATTGTTTGGTGCGAATTGCCCTAATATTTGTAATTTTGTGGTGGTGCACATGATACAGTAAAACTTTGCTGAAGCTCACAATCCCTAGGATTAAGTTACTGAGGAATCGGAGAGAGATTCAGTTAAAGCAGATGCGTAAAGATATTGCTAAGCTACTTGAAACTGGTCAAGAAGCTACAGCCCGGATTCGGGTATTGCCATTATTAGTTTTTCTTAGTTCCTGTTGTTAAATACTTCTGTCTCTGTGGTGTTTGTTGGAATATGCTGTGAAGTTGTGGGGCTGTTGCTGTTTTACTTTTTCAGGTGGAGCATATCATAAGAGAAGAGAAGATGATGGCTGCACAAGAAATAGTTGAGCTCTTTTGTGAGCTTATTGCTGTCCGTCTTCCGATAATTGAAGCACAAAGGTAGTCCCATTTTCTTGGACATTTAATCTTCTATTACAACAGCAATTATGTTCTTGCAACATTCAGGAACTTCAATGGTGGAATTAACTGATATACACTTGTTTCTGTGTTTTGTTTATATTGGACATGGATGCAAAACTCTTGTACTGTTTTCTGTAGTTGGGAATTTCCCTCTTTTTTCAGCATATGCTACGAATTTGTTGGTGTGTGAAAACTGAAAATTTTGGATTTAGTTTTTAATTGTGTGGTTCGACAAAATGGCATACAACCATGTATCTCCTGCTTGTGTTCTATGGCCGTTTATGTGCACTTGGTTTTGAAAATACTGTGTAAGTCCATTTTTCTTGTAAAAAAGATCGACTAGACTACTATCTCTTAAGCTCTTTGCAGGACCTAATATACTCGGTTCTTATTATCAGTTCATGGATGCCTTTACCCAAGTTAACTTCTTCAAAGTTAGGCACCACCCTCAAACATATAGTCTATCGATCATGGCCTCTAAATTGTTGTAATTATCCTTATTTAGTTCTATTTGCTAGTTTCTATGAAATGATAAGAGGTGGAAGTTAGGAACACCATAATCTGTTATTTTTCTTTCTCATTGCTCAATAATATTTCGGAAATTGTTTCAGTGATCCTAGAAATTTTGAAACTAGAAATTTGTTATAGAGCTTCATCCATGACCTCTTCTGAGCATGGGTTACAAATTTCAGGGAATGCCCCCTGGATCTGAAGGAGGCAATTTCCAGTGTATGCTTTGCGGCACCAAGATGTGCTGACCTTCCAGAGTTGCAGCAGGTGCAGATATTGTTTGCCGGAAAATACGGTAAAGAATTTGTCGTGGCTGCAACAGAGCTTCTGCCTGAATGTGGTGTTAATCGGAAGGTAGTACCACTGCTCCTTGCCACAACAATATTATACAAGCCCATTGTGTCCACTTCCTTCCTGTTCAGTCTTTTCACATCTTGAATTACTTTCGAGATTGCAGTTGGTGGAGCTTTTATCGATACGAGCTCCCGCCCCTGATGTAAAGCTGAAGCTGCTAAAGGATATTGCTGAAGAACACCAGCTGGACTGGGATGCAAGTGCTAGTGAAAAGGAATTACTGAAGCCACATGAGGACTTACTGGTAAGAAATTACGGCGACTTTAATACCTACCCATGATCTGTACCGATGTTTGTCTCCTTCACTTTGCAGAATGGGCCAACGCAGTTTGTTTCCGGCTCCAAACTTCCCCTTCCAGAGGAGAAGCACAACGACACTATTTACACAGCACCAGAGCCACCTGTTCATCAACACTCGGATTCTGATGAAGAAGACTACGATATCATCGATTTCCCTGAAGTTCCCAAGGAGCCCTTACAGTCGCATAAAGGCAATGCTTCAGCACCCGAAATGCTACCCTTTCCTGCCTCAGCATTCTCTGATGTTGATGATCAAGAAGAACCAAAATCCACAGGTGCTAACGAAGATCATTCTCACTTGGAGCCTGAGGCTGTGGTGGTGCAAGAGAAATCAACCGTAGAGGAATATGCATCACCCGAAACATCATCTGGTCCACCGGTAGACAAGCAATTTGTGCCGTTCATATCTCCTCCTCCTCCATCACAACCTTCACCATCATTGCCGCCAAGAGAACAAACTTCACCCCCTCCAAATATCTCGAAGACGAAAAGTGACAATGTGGATCTACAGGATGTTCTAGCTGCCGCTCATGCAGCTGCCGAGACGGCTGAGCGCGCTGCAGCAGCTGCTCGGTCTGCAGCTAGCATCGCTCAGCTAAGAATCAGTGAGCTCGCCAAAAACAAGAAAGATGAAGCGTCAGAAGTTCCTTCTGTCGAGAATCCATTCCATCTCAACAAAGTTAAGTCAGATGTGGGGGGAAAGATCGATTTAAGCAAGCAGAACTCAATCAGCGATTCTGACAGCGCTGGCTCTCCTAGCCCCAACAGTGGAGGAGGAAATTACATGAATCATCAACCAACGGCGCATTATGAGCCACAAGTGGGGGTCGATCCATCCTCGCCTGGCACCAATAGAATTCTCCGTCATCATCAACCACAGAGACTACCTTCGATGGACGAAGAACCGTATTTCTCTTATCCAAACCTGTTCACGCCTCAAGGATCAAACCTCAGCTCCCGCCCCGAGTCATTCAAGGATACCAGGTGAGCCCTGATATTACTTTCCATATTATGTATGTTTATATTGCTTCTATATATGGTTATATTGCTCGATGTCTTTGGCCATTCCCGGGGTGTTGTCGTGTGGTGAATCCAAATGTGCATTGGGTATCCTTTTATGATGCTTCAAGATTTTATGCCATTGCAAAGTCCATAGTCTGAGTTGTGTTCTCCTTTAGTCGTCAATTCATACTTTCATATGCACGGAATAGTCTATATCTCTTCGATACTCTTCTCTGCAATAAAAGTATGCTCTCTCTCTCTCTCTCTATATATATATTTGTATGTTTCATTTTAGTGATGTCAGAGTGGGATAGAAAACTAGCTGTTACAAGTCGTGGATGTGTCTGATAGTTTGAACGTGGTGAATGTTGCCTGTCTTGTTTACAGAACTTGTTGGACTAAACTGGATGAAGTTAAAATATGAGGGACTGTGTTCTAAATGTATATAAACATATACAAATAGATAATATATATATATATATATATGTGTGTGTGATTAATGTTAATTAGTTTTATAAGAATATAGAGAGTAATATATGTAAATAATTGTTAAGATAGGATAAGTATAGAAATATGAGATTTTTTGAGAGTATTTGTTTGGGGGATTGAATTTTAAATATACTATTCATTTTATTTTATTTTTCCTAAAATATCAAATTAAACATATATTTTTTATTTTTTATATTATATTAAAAATGAATTTTATATTAAAAATATTATATTAATATTTATTAAAAAAATATAAAAATATAATAATATTGTACTTAAAAGAGTATTAAATAATATAATTTAAATTAAATATAAATATGTAATAGAACACAGCCGCTGCCTGCACTATCTATCTTCTCCCTCTGTCTTCTTCTTTCCCTTATTTTTTTTCTTTTTTTTTTCTTCACGCTGCTACTCTCTATTACCTTCTTTATATATATATATATATATTTTTTACAAATATGGAACCCAACCGCCGGTTCGAACCGGTTGGGCTAGTCTTATCACTAGGCCGATTGAAGCAGGCAGGCAGCCAACAGAATTGATTTCAATCAAGGGTCTTTTATGGCAAAAAAAGGGGGAATAAATAGCAGATAATGTAGATGTATAACGTCAGTACATTGAATTTGAAACTGCCTATTGACTACCACGTGTTTGTTTATGCATTATCGCATCAAATTATGCACCAATTCACTTCTTGCCTGCCAGAACATACAATTTAATGCACCCTACTTCCTAACCAATTAAAGATTGAAATATTGAAATACCTAACCAATTAAAGATTCAAATAAATTATTAAACGATAGAATCAAAATTGATTGAAATTATTTATAATGAATTAAAATTGATAGATTTTTATATTGGAACTAAATTTTAATAAATTTTGATTATATTTTTTCACTTTATTTTAATATTTACAAGTATATAAAAAGAACACTGTTTCATCTCCCAACCTAAAAGCGAAGACCGCTTGTGAAATGACACTTTCACCCCTTGTACTGAAATGTATTTTTAATCGGGTCGGGCGCCCGAGATCCGGCTACCAATTTGGAGCAGTGAGTGCACCGCAGTAACGGTGGAAAAGGGTAAATTTGGATTTTCAGAAAAAGCCACCGCTTTTTAGGGGCGTGAGTTACCGAAGTATTTCTCATTAATTTTCCTAATTATGGTCACCACTCGCCAGTCGCCACCACAGTTTGATGCTTATAATGTTTTTTGGTTTCCTATTTATAGGGCTGGAGTCGCTCGATTGTGATGTAGCAAGGCAGCGAACATCGCCATCCCTTCCGAGGCTAGGTAAGAGCAGAATTTCTGTAGAGGAAGCTCGAGTGAGCTGCGGTTTTATCTGCTTCCTGTTTGGATGAGTGAATGATTTTATGTTTAATGTGTGTGCGGAAGTTTTTTTTATGGTTTTTGGTGAGTTTGATTAATTTTGTTTAGTTTATGCGTGGAAAATGTTTGTTAAGAGTTGTTGTTAGGAGATGGCAGGTGGTGGCGGTAATTTTTGGTGGTTGTTTTGGTCAATTACTGTCGTACAAATGGCGTTGTTGTATAGTAGTTGTTGGAAGGAGGTATTGTTCGGTTTCAAAATTTGGTGTTGGAATGTAAACTGATAATGGCAGTAGGATGATGAAAAGTGATGTTCATAATGATGATGATATTGGCGTTCGTTTTTCCGAGCAGTGTGATGATGGAGCTATTTAAGCGGAATGGTGGTTGATGCTTAGATATGTTTGCTTGGTTGTGATGAATTGTTTGATGGAGATCCTATGAAATTCTACTTAACGATCTTGAAGCATTTTTTGGCGATAGGTGATATTTCTTAGTTGCTCTTTCAATCTCTTGAATTGAATGAGAATAGTGGAGTTAAGCTAAATTTAGATAGTGTGATGACTCTGATGAGAAGAGGTAGTTTGGGTTATGAATACTCTACCAGAATAGTAGAGCTGTTCTTGCTCTGATGTTGAATTGGCTTTCTAGAGGGGAAATTCTGGTTGTGGATGATTCAAATACCTGATCAAGGAATATTTTATCTAAATCTTTCGATCTTCTATTTTGATGTGTTACTTCCATTTATCTATATATGTGTTGTTCATGCTAGCCAGACTTTACACCTTTATTTTGGTTTGTTTTTAAATTTTGATATCATTAGTTCGAGGAGATACAGCTTTTATCTATCCTCATGGTTAGACGTTATCTTGTGGCAGTTAGCAACTTCATATGATGGATGCATCAAATGGTTTGAGATCTTTCGAAGAAACGCATAATGCAGATATAAAATCTTTCTTTGATTCTGCTCCTCCGCTAAAGGATGGTGAGGACATCAAAAGAAAATTAGAAGAATTTTTAGGAAAGAAATTTTCATCCTCAGGTAGGATTGTAGTTTAACTACATTTATACTGCCTGGTGTCTGCGTGTGTGCTAACTACCAGTTCTGACAGTTTACACTTGGATTTGTTTATATATTTATGCAGAAAATGGAAGACCCTGTAGGGTTGTGTGTGTGACATCTGGTGGGACAACTGTTCCTTTAGAACAGCGATGTGTTCGTTACATTGACAATTTCAGCTCAGGACATAGAGGAGCTTCATCCACAGAGCAAGTTACACTTTGCCTAGTTTTCTTAGATGTTTGTGATTTTTGAATCATATCAGACACAAGAAATCTTAATAATAACAAAAATGCAGATATTTTTTGAAGGCTGGCTATGCTGTAATATTTCTATACCGTAGGTGAGTACTCCAGATTTCAGAGATCTGATGCGTTTTTCCTACTTAATTTCCGATGCATTCCCATATTCAGATGTATTCCATGACTTCACATTTGACAATATAATTGGAATGTGTATGTAGAGGAACCTGCCAGCCATATTGCCGGTCTCTGCCAGATGATCCTATGCTTGAATGTTTTGACGTTACTGATGAATCTGGAATCACAGGTTGGTTTTTCAATTTTTATTTTTTTCCCCTGGAACTGTTTCTCAGTTTCTTTTGCAGAGGGATTCTGAACGTATCAATTTGTGTATTTTTTGTGATGTGAATATGATTAACAATTTAAACAATGCTTGATGATATTAGCAGGATATGCTCCAATTTCATCTGACAAGAGTTTCTCTTTTTTTTTTTCCTTTTCAAGTTTTACATATTATGGTCAATATGGGCATTGATTGTGTTGCATGAAACATCAGCTATGTTTTTTTACTGCGCTGTATAATCTTTCACTATGTTTCAGTGCTCCCGAAACATGAAAAAGCAGTGGGGGCAGCCATCAGTGGCAATCGTACAGTAAGGATGATTATTGTCATTGCAACTTTTGTTTACGCTTAATATACATCACTGAGGCTGTTTATTGCAGGCTGTTACTGGAGGCACCTTGTTGAAACTTCCCTTCACAACAATCTTCGAGTATCTTCAGGTTGTTTTATGGCTTTTTTCCTCATCCTTTAATTCCGTTCTTATCATTTTAAGCTATGATATTATTGGAGTTATTGTCCAGACTTAACCGCCATACCTCAAAACAATTGTTAAAAACGGAATTACTAATTAGGAAAAGAAATTGAGTAGCACACTAAGAATAGGGATGTCAGTGATAGATTATGGAATGAACCAAACCGACCATAATTAAATCCAAATTTATTATTCTTGTGTTGGAACTTGGGACTCTGGAAATTTCCTGATTGTGTAAAAACTTGACGGTCTTACATTGAAGATTTATATCGTGAATGTTGTTCTTGAAGAGTTATTTGGATAAAATACAAGTTCATGAGCCTTTATTTGCACATTTCTTTGTCAAATGATTGTTCTTCATCAGCAAATTAAGATATAAATCACTAGGATTAACTGACAAGCTAGAGTGTGTTTAGATGTATTTTGGATGGGGTTGGGTGTTTAGGGTTGTTTTAGTGTTGGATACGGTATTATTGAATAGATAATATACTTTTTATGTAACATTTTAAATGAAAATTAGGTTGTTAAATTATATTACTTTTAGACAAATAATTTTTTTATGAATAGTGCAAAACAAAAGTATACTGACCCTTTATACGCCATAGCCGTGTTCTTAATATCAAAAAGAAAGTTTCCATTTATTATTATATGATATTATTAAAAAGTTGATTCCGAAATAGCTGGATCTATTTGAAGACTAGAAATATTCAAGTCCAATGAGATGTGTTATAACATTTGTTGGTTGCCAAATCAGCTACCTCATTTATCATAGTTGCCAAATTGGCAAAAAAGCATTTGGACTTGTCATTAAGAACATTGGTAACATATTGAATTAGGCTTCCAATGAAAGTTCCTTGTATGTGTTCGAATCAATTTAAATGCTTAGGTTCTATACTAGGAAATGGTTCTCTCTCTATCATATTTATATTTCATTCTTTTTCCATCATGAACTAGCCTCCTCTTGTGTGGTAGAGGTTTTCTGCCAGTTTATGGCTTCATCACCTTTAGATGTCAAATTGCTCGACGATCTAAAAGTTGAACCTACAGGTAGCAATTGGTTATCTACTTGCACTTAGGATACGGTTCTATGTGATGTGCAGATGTTGCAGATGATTGCTCTATCAAGTAGGAGCCTTGGGTCAAATGCATTGTTCTACCTTGCCGCAGCAGTTTCCGATTTTTACGTTCCTTGGGAGTCGATGGTAATGTTCCAATCTACTTCAAATTTTCTTTCTTGGTAAAATGTAACTATTCTAAAACGAGACATACGCTGTGCTTCCCTGCTATATGACCGACTCAATACAGGCAGAACATAAAATTCAATCTGGCTCGGGTCCTCTAGACATGCGGCTTGTTCAGGTCCCAAAAATGCTTTCAGTGCTGAGGAAGGACTGGGCGCCTATGGCCTTTTGCATATCATTTAAGGTTAAGCCTTAATGAAGTCGACATTCTTTTATAGAATTCATGGTAGTGAAGTAAGTTCTTTTCCGACTAACATTTACGTGACACAGCTAGAGACGGATATTAAGATTCTTCTAGAGAAAGCTGCAATGGCTCTGAAGAAGTATGATATGCATATGGTGGTAGCTAATGAACTTCTAACACGCAAAGAGGAAGTCACTGTTGTCACAAAAAGTGGCAACATAACAGTTCAACGAGACAGGACTCAGGCGGGGGCTGATGTAGAAGATCCGCTGGTCAAATTCATAGTCGAGAAGCATTCTGATTATATCAGTTCTACTTCATGATCAAATTCACTACAGCTGCTTCGTACCCACAAATGGGTCAGTTCTTTCGGATGCATTGCAGAGTGCGTGCCTGACTAGAAAACTTCTTACCTAATTCTGATATTGAAGAATGAAATATGAAAAACACTTCTTTGTTATGATTTGAGCTTCCATTATCAATGAATTCCATTGTTTTCTAAACCAAATACTATTATTTTCTCTGCTCTTTCGAATAATGGCATCTTCAGGAATATATATAACTGTTGCATGATTGTAGGGAGACTCATAGAAACAATGGTAATATAAGATAGACATGTTAACAATATATATGTACAGGTTAAGAGACTACAAAATCACCTTACAAAGCCGATAGCATTGGGGAAGAAACTAACCAGGTGGAGGGTCATCACTAAGTAGTTCTTCTCCGTCTTTATCAAGTTCAAGACCCTCTTCTGCCAGAAGCTGCCCTATGATCTTCTTCCTGTCTTCTTCGGCCTTTTTTCGCATTAAATCCCTTTTCTTGAGGATGAGCGTATGTCTTCTTAGGGTGTTGTGGAAGTACTCCGTAGACGCCTTTTTCTCTTTCACCCGTATCTTCCTTTCTTCCTCCGGATCGATCTGATTATGCATCAGTTATTATATACACGTCTTAAGAATACTACCAATCTCCTCCTACATTAATAGTGTTTTATACAGTGGAGCATTTAACATTCCAAAATTCTTCTATATGGTGCATTGAATTTTTTTTAAAACACAGTTTGGCAGAAAATATATACATTGCCCTTTTTTCTGTCTCACACTGCAAATATTTGTAAGTCCATTGGGAGAAACTCTTTTCAAAGCTGATCAGTTCTGTGGTAACTGGTAAAGGGTGTTCAACTTTTTTGTAACAAGCAATAAAGATATGTCGAACAATACCTTGGAGCGAGCAAGGCGACGTGCGCGCAGATTCAGTTCACGCTGCTGTTGCTCAGCCCAAGCTGCTATCGCCATATCACCTCTTTGGTCGAATGCCTTTCGCTTTTTAATCAGCCACTCCATCCATGCTTCGGATGCCTGACATATAACACACGTATACTCTCGATCAACATTTTCATGAGCCACAAAGGTGTATAGAAGATTATCCTATCGAAACTGCACACAGAACACATAATACACAACTGATGCAGGAGTACAACAAAATGCTGATTCATTTGTTAGAGTGGCCTTTCTCCGTAGCGGTCTTCTAAAACAAAAAATTAACCATCCACAAGACTCGAGCATCAAAATAAGGCTCAAAAGCATTTCCAAATTTTATCCTTAAAAATAATTATGCATGAAAATGGTGCAGTGTTGGAAATAATCAACTGGTATACAAATTTCACCTTCATTGGGTTCACACGATTGTCAGTATCGTATTTCCTCCGCCTCTCCACATCTACAAGAAGCTCATAAGCAGCTTGAATCTTTATAAATCGAGCCTCGGCTGTTTCTCCTTCCTCTAAGGTCCCTTTACCGTCATAAACTTCATACATAAACAACATACATTAGCCCAAATCATAATGAAGAATGAAAAGAGATATATGATGTTTCTCCAATTCATCTATTTTTAAGCTCTGGGACTATTTTGTGCAGTTACGTGCCGCTCAACATGAATCAGTTTTACATTCCAACCAAATATTCTCATTTTGATAACAAATAAAGGACCCAATATTCTCTTGCATTTGTTATCAGGGATCCCATGATGTGATATAACACACTAGTCAACTTTCATTGGATGATCAACAGGCCTAAAAAAATAGCTCTTGATGGCTTCTAGTGCAACAATCTGAAATTGATATTGCTAAAGTTGATTAAACAAGTAATAGCACAGTTGTCAATGGCACGTGGCGCAGGTAATGGAGCCATAGCGTGCACCCTGCGCAACATCAACACTTGACAAAATGTTATAAGTAATTAAATATACATATACTATTAATGAATTTATAATTAAGATCCAAACGTTTTTAGAAGAAAAGGCGAAAAATGCTCATGGCATCCACCATAAATTATTTTACAGAACTAAGACACCTATGATGCTGAAGGGATTTTTCAATGAAGACACTAGGAGAAGAGGTGCAAAGTACTAAGACATTTGCAGATCTTCATCTAATTTTCAACAAAGCATCAAGCCACAATAAAAAAACATGCTAACAAAGTATAGGGACAAACCATCAGGGTGATAAAACTTTGCCAAGCGCCTGTAGGCCACTTTTATTTGTTCTTCATCAGCATCTCTGTCCAATTCTGCATTTTAAAAAGTTATAAATTGTGCATCAGTCACCACTCACAGAAACAGGATAAACAGCAACAGAGAATGAATTAGACACTAGAAAGAAGGACACAATAGTAAGAGGATTAGATGTATTGTGATCCACCACATAAAACTGCCTGAAAGAATTTCCAATAAGGTATAAATTGAGTTAAAACAAAAGGGGTGAGAAGGGAGACATGCAAACCAAACAAAAACTGATGTTTTCCAATTGATTCTATAATTGTTGAGCCAATTTCATTCCTAGCTCAACTAGAAAATGTCTTGGGAGATTCAAACATAGCAATAAATATAGATGCTTTTGGCTCCTCTATGCATCAGTTCATAATATAGCATAAGGTCGGTCCTTAGAGGAATTTAAAACCTCCAGTTGATCAACCTATGGCCTGGAAGCTGAAGGATATAGAATCAGCTTTCGTGGAGGCCTGAAATGTTCTGCTAGGTCAATACATATTGTTACTTGATTCATATCATCATAAAGTGTTCATGTAAATATGAGTGTTTGCTGATAGCCAGGACAGCTGTAATACACACACCAAGAAAGTGCCAAATAATTAATAGAATCATGATTATTTGTAGCACTTTCCTCCTCATGATTACAACACATATCATGGCATCCTATTGCTTGGATTCAGAATTTGAGAACGTCATACTTTTTCAATTACATCTTTTCTAAAATTATAAACCTATTTCAACTTCACGCTCAATGAATTTTTGATCTTCTAGAATGGGAAAAAGGCATTTTCATCTAATTCAGCCTTATCTTATTCTGAGCCTTCCAACCTATTACAAAAAGTAGATAATAGAACAACATATTTGACCAATACAGATCAAAAACTAAATAGAAGCAAGCTGTTCCAACATTATTGATCTCTCATATTAAGAACAGCAATCGTTCAGCTTTTTAGGCGAGCAAGCATATTCAACAAACAGTCCTAATCAACATCTTAACAGGGACGTGGCTAAGTTAGCCACACACAACCAAACATCAAAAGTTTGGCAAACATTGTGTCGTTCCAATCACACTCAAATCACAACATTTCAGCAGAGCCACCGAAAACAAAAAGAGTTGCTAAAAGCGAAATCAATCGACGCGCACAGACATTTACCGAGTGTTTCATAAGGAGATTTAGAGTCAGTCCAATTGGAAGCCTTGGTCCCCACCATCCTCCGCTGCCGATGCAATCTCAATCGCGGATCATACTTCCTGTCCGCACCCAATCTATCAAACCAAACCGCGAACACAGATGACGAATATGCCGAACTAGCTCTATAGCTACAATTCCGTTCCCCAACAAACGAAACCCTAACCACCGCCCTGTAGCAGCACGCCATGGACGACAACATCGCATGCGGCCTGCATATCGCCCTCAAATTGCTCATCTCCTCCGACTGGAACAGACCGATTAAGCCCGATTTTTTATTGCGGCAGAAGATTTCGCGCAATTATTATTATTATTAATTTTATTTTTTTCAAAATTTGTGGATCATTTGGCTCCAAAACTCACGACAGTTGGGGACGGAAGCTATCGATCAAAAGACTCTTCTGCCCTTGTCGTTGCTCTGCCTTTTATCTGGGCCAATAATGAGATGGCCCATCTATAAATATATAGGCTCAATTTATTAGATAATTTGGGCCCAACACAAACTAGAAACCACAAAAAGCCATTGACAATCTAATAGTTTCTTTTAAAAAAAACAAAAAAACAAAAAGAGATAAATACTTAAAATTTCACAAAAATCTTCGAACAATTTTTTTTTTTTTTTTTTACTATCGAGTAAATTTATAATCTATTTAATAGTACTTATTCACAATTTTCTTATTCTTAATTTAATAAATAGTAACTATTTTATTACTATTTCTTATATTTACTTTATTATTTATTAATCAACGTCTTATCAAAATTTTCATAATACTTTAATATTCTTTTCATATTTTACTTTAATATTAAAATGCATATTTTTAGCATTATCTCTCACCAAATTTGTATAAATTTACTGAGAGTGAGGAAGTACAAACAAAGTCAAGTAATATCTCTAGCAGTCATATATACACACATTCAATAGTCCTTAATATTGCAGCTGAAAATGATACCTCACTAATAATAATAATAATAATAATAATAATGTTTTAAGCAAAATTATGATTATTTCATATACAACGTATAGAAATAAAACCGGTTCTCGCCCAGCACAGATTAACCGGGTTCGCGCGGACACCGACCGGTCCAGAGCGAGCTAAGAGCACGCAGCCGAGCGAAGTACTCTCCAAATGCGAGCAGTCCCTTGGCCGCTTGGCGCGTGGTGAGTATCCGCGACATCTGCTGCAGAGTTTGCTCCCGGAGATGATCGGCCTGCAAAAATGGCAGCACTCATCGAGATTCGAAAAATTGATGTATGGATTGATCTATATGATCACATTCAGATGGTGTTGTTTCGCAATGGAAAATAGAAATAATATGCATACCTGGTGAATGAAGCCTTCGAGGGATTCGAGCTTCTCAAGAGCTGCCGCCGTCTGCGCGTTGCAATTTCCGGCTCCGACGACGAGAAATGTTATGCTCTGCGCCAGAGTCTGCTGAAGCTTTTCCATGCCTTGTGTGAGAGCATCCTCCGCTTGCATACAGGAATGCCTTAGGTTGAATATGTTCACATTTTGCTCGTCTGTTAGCGGCTCGAGCTGCGGCATTACCACCTGCTCGACGGAACCAAATGTCGGTTAAGTTAGTTAGTGTAGGAAGAGATCCAAAAAGGAGGTTATTGATCGGAAAGGTAGTAAGGCGCATACGCCGATGAGCTCGGACGGTTTGAAACCTCCAATCCAGAGGAAAAAGCGCTCGAGCGAGGTCTTCCACATGCCGGAGACTAAGTAGAATGCATCTGCCCTCGCAGCATCTCTCTTCATCCGGAAGAGGTTGCAGTAGTGGTTTAGTATATTCTCTACTACTCTTTGGAGCTCTGCATCGCCAATAGGAGACTGCAGGACAGTCCTCAGGTTGGATATATTTCGCTCTTGCTCTTCGATCCAGTGACTGTATTCCATCTCAAATGCAGCTATTCCTGTGATCCACAGCATTGCCAATGCAGTTGCTTTTGGTTTTTTTTCTTTTTTTTTTTTTTTTTTTTTTTATCTTACAAGTGCAAGAGTGACAATGAAAACTGTGGGAGTGTTAGAAGGGAGTACCTGAGTTCACTGTGCCGCCGCATAGTCCTATAGTGGAGGATGATGCGCCGGAGATGAGCAATCCCTGCAATCAAGTAATGATCGGAGGTGATTTAAACAATGCGATTGGTGTGGAAGAACACATATGGAATGAATTAACTTGTCAAGTCACCTGTTGTCTAGCCCTCTCTAGTTCGAGCTCGAGCTGTGCCAGCTTCAAACGGCTCGTCTCCAGCTGCTGCACGTAAGCCTATATGTATATGCATGGAAAGAATTTGGTGAAGACCGTGAACTCAAAAGAGTAAAAACATCAGCCACAAGTGACATTAATTAGTTATGAACCTCTCTTTTACCTTCTTCCTTAAACGGCTCTTCCTCGCAGCCTCGCGGTTTTGCTCCAAACGACGTTGTATCTGTCGCATTTTAGAAACACAACAATTTGAGAGCTTTCAATTTTCAATATATGCCAAAGATATCATCGAAAAGGGGGCACAAATGTGTTAAGTAGTATTCACCTTCTCGGAAACACTCTTTGATGCTCGAGTATCTTCCGTGTGCTCGAGCGATTTGTCAGAAGTGTACTCAATCTGGATTTGAGGTTAGATGATTAACATGAATACAAACCTCATAGTTCATCATCAATCCACACAACACACACACACATAATTACAGATGTGATGCTTTTACTTTTACCTTATCATCAACCTTTGTGTCCATCTCTGTCATTACACAGACGCCTGTTCCGGAGCTGATGTTGCCATCAAAAGCATTGTCCCACAGGGGCATTTGGTGGAGAGGTTCATACATACTCATCCTGCTTGGAGGTGCAAACTGAGTTGTCGGAGAAGTCATATTACCAACCTTTGAAGGAAAATACAAACACAAGGTATGATAACCATTAGATCATACATAGCTTGACAAACTCATTAGCTAATAAACCCATACTCATACATAGGAGACCTACTAGTGTTTCAATTGTTCTCTAATTCTACCGATCACCATAAGAAAGCTAAAAAGGGATTGAAACTAGAAAACACACTTACCTATATGCATCAAATTAATGAAGACTTGAAGAGGGAAATTGTATCCGATGAGCTAAGTCGAAAATATAGAAGCTTCAAGTAAGAAATGAAGAGAAGAATTCTGAATCAAACCCTCTGAGAATCTTGATTAAATCCCTTCAGGCAGCATATTTCAGATGGTCCAAGAAACGTTCATTCATAGCTTTATCACTCAAACATTTCTCTGGCTCAGCAAAAAAGCAAGGCAACTGATAAAAGAATGAAGCCAAAGAACTCTAAACTTTTGAATATAAAAAATGGCTGAATAAAGGCAATACATATATATATGCATATGCATATATATATATACATATGTATTGTATGTCTGGTTTTGATTTCTACTGATCCCACTCACCACTGCTACTATATACTAATCCACTGTGTCAGAAATAAAGATTCTCCTTACTCAAGGGGTGTGCCAAACATGGTGTTTTAAAGCCTCAGGTAAGTCTGAAAATAACCCATACAAATGGAAACTAGGCAGCCACTCTCTTGATAAGCTTAAATTTTACTTTGCCATAAAGCAGCTTTGCAAAGCCAAGAAAAAGGTTCAGACACATGGAAAGATTCAGTCATATTTTCATAACAAATGGGCTTTGAACATGACAGGCATTGTGTTTTATTTACTTGTTCTACTCTACGTTTATTGACTGATACCAAAGTACATAGAAGCACAAGCTACTAAATATTACATGTACGTAGCATACTGGTGGCATAATGTACAGATTTGGAGCTTTGAAATAGCTGAGATCGTTAGTTTTCGTGGTCCCACAGGACTCTCAAACGAGCGACAAGTGTGATCAGGGATTGTCCCGAACTTTTCGGAGGGGCTTATTAGGAAGTGCCAGCACAACAGGGGAAGCTTTGGAAGCTAGAGCTACAGAAAGGAAATCGCACGGTAAAGTCGTGGAGATTGTGTGCTCGCTAGCTTGGTCACGATAGTGGAATAGTGATGCTGATTCAGAGACAGTAAAAGGTTCGTACATTCGATTCGATATAGTTTAGGCCTTGATAGAGGAACACATGCACTGGAATTTTGCTGCTGTTAGTAAGTAGTGATATGTAAAAGTTCGATTTCATTATTGGCGTTCATTTAGCTCGACACTTGGCCTGATTACATGGTTAAAATATTTGTCCCAATCTATATATGTTACTTTTCGGCAAATGTGTGAAGAAAAGGCTACTCTTTTACTGCTTTTTCTTTGTTTCTTGGCTAACTGTCATCATATGCTTATGGTGATAGAATCTGGGAACAAAAATGTGTACTTAGACAATGTGGCAATGATTTGCTTAGTAAAGATATGTGTGTTCCCTCCAAAGACTTCAAAACTCTAGTCTAAGAACAGAGGAAATTGTGTGGCATCGAACCATAAAGAATATACTTTTCCTTATAATAGAAATAACTTTTTGCCATCCAAGATTGATCACACTTTTCCCATTGCTCTCTTCAGATGAATTGCAGTCCAACTTTTCCTGCAAGAAACATCGAGGTTGCGCCAATGCTCGTATGCATTGTGGTTTTGCACAAAGACATTGATAACTACAAATGGTATGGATCATTAAGTTAATTATATCTCTCCAAAGTGTTTTATGCATTCTCCTTTCACTAAGCTCTTTCTTTCTTGTTGTCTTTGTTTTTTTTAAATATCCTTTTTGTCTCGGATCATTAGATGTGTAAATAGAGTCTTAATTCACTTATGACTCTTCCAAATGAAGAAAGCCAAAGAAAAGCAGTGGCCCTAAGCTTTTACCTGCCCAATTATCTTAGCTTTTGTGCAAAAAGTAAAATCCGAAAGCAAGAATTATCTCCACTAAAAATATGGGAACTCTCTGAGGCCACAAAAAAACAAAAACTGATCAAATAAAAATAATAGAGAAATGTAGAGTTAAAAAGTGTTGTTGTAAGGTTGAATCTAAACCAAGATTCTGCGTATAATTGTGAATATACTTCCAGAGCACAGAAGCTTAGAGGCTAAGCTTTAGAGCTGTTTATTGTGTTGTGTCCTGTAAATAATGGAGGTTGAGCTGTGTTTCTTGCAACAAATTATAGTATATAACAACATGAAATGTCGAATCGGATTAGCACAAACTTATGTTTGTTAAATGCAAGAAAAACATCGTAAATCTAAAAAATCCCCAAAAGGGGAAAGGCTAAGCTTTGCATTGATGAGTTATTGCAGCATGTATAATGGGAGCCTTCTTTTTAACTATATGATCATTTTTATTGCTTTTGTCCTATCAAATGCACAGCACCGTGACGAATCACCAGGTGACTGTTAGGTGTTAACCGAAAAAAATATCTTTTTTAAGCACATATTGATCGATTGATTTATGGAGGTGATGCAAGAGGTGATGAGTCATGTTTATGTATATGTGATTTATTATCAGGTGTGTGGGTAGCCATGGCACTTTGTTGCCTTGTATGTATAAATGATTGAAGCTCTTTTATTGTGCTGAGTATTAAAGATATAAAGAAAACCACTACAAGCAGCAAAAGGGGAGAGTGTAGAGTGCTTTACTTCTTTTGGCTTTAAAGCTTTAAAGATATATGTGATGATAGGACTTAATAGTTTTTAATTTTTTTGGTGTGAGAGTGTTTTTCTATCCTCACCTCAGCAACTTTATTTTTGATTTTTTAAGTGTCTTCACTACTTTATGAGATAAGCAATGTTTATGGTAATACTGTTTACCAATCAAACCTCAAATAGTAGTTAACATTAATTTGAATATATATATATATATATGGCTTTAATTATTAATTTGTCTTGGATCTTGAATATATATATATATATATTCTGTTAAGATTTCTGAAAGGTTGTGCTTAGCTTTAGCTTCTATCTAATCTGGATAAGGGAGAACCTAATTGTATAATAGTATAATTATGATTTTGATTATTTTTTTTTTATTGGTAATGCGGGATGCAAGAATATATAATCTTTATTGCTGTGAAGACAGGCTTATTCTTTAACTAAAAATCAATTGTGTACGACGAGGTATATTACTAACTTCCTTATTCAATTAATTCTGGACTGATTGTTTATTCCAATATATATATGTGCGTAGGAACCCTAAACCCTAAACTCGCAGCTGTTATTCAACTAATACAATCTGAATAAATTTCGGCAGAACCAGTTGAAAAGAAAACTTTTGATTGTTGAAGGTAAGATTATAAGGTGTTTACATTACAGTAGCGGGGCGGTTTTAATTCAGTTATAAATAAAATAAAATCAAATCAAATCAAATTTCAAATAAAATAAATGAAGTAGTAATTGGTGGGGTGGGCAGGTGTTTTCATTACGTACGTACGTTATAAATATAGATAGGGACACGAATGGATGGATGGATGGATGATGCTGGAAAGGTTATGTTCTTGACGAGGGCAGCGTCAGATTGAATCAATTGTTCATGCCAGAGATTACAACTTATTTACAGCTACACTTTTTAATTTTGTCACTGTAATTTTTTCAAAAAGTAACATGATATAAAATACTGGAGTAATTTTATTTTTTTCTTACTTTCCATGGATTTAATTTAATGTTTCAGCAGAATTGGGTAATTGGGAATTTAAAAAATAAAAAAAGGGTCTAGATCTGTTTAATGGCCAATCCAACTAACTCATTTAGGATCCAACTGAAAATTATTATAAACTTATATTTGGATTTAGTCATGGATCTTGATAGTTATTTCCAAACTTACTAAGTTGACACTCGGCCCAGATCCGGCCCATTCCTAATTTAGAGAAGAATTGAAGAAGTCCACTTATTATTATAGAGTACTGATATAAATAATAATAATGTGAGTGGGCTTGTTCTTGTTCTTGTTTTGTTGTGTTTCTGTATTTTAAATCATTTAAAAAAGAAAAAGAAATTAATTATGACGATTATTTCATATTGCATATAGTAGAGTTGCAGGTGCCGTTTACCCAACATCCAACTTAGAGATGTATTTCTCCAATAATGTTACTAGATAAATTACAACACATACAAAAAAACAAAATTAAAGTTAACCATTCAATATAAAACAAACAAAAATAAATAAATAACTCAATACTAAACAGAGTAATTCTATTGTCGGTGAGTTTTGTATTTCTAAGGTAACAGCTCCACTCACCACAGGCTATTATTATTATTATTATTTTATTATTAGCAAAGGAGTGGGGCAGGGGTTGTTGAAAGATATATACAGATATCGGCTTAATTTTTATTTAGCAATTTTTAAAAAATAAATAAAAAATTTATGGGTAGAAAGAGAGTGGGAGTGAGTAGTCTAACACTTGTGATTTCAGTTGAGCTAAAAATAAGAATTAAAAGCAAAGAGTGAGTATATTAATTGTAGCTTACTTATAGAATTGAATTAATGCTGTGTTGGATGGGCATATATATATATATATATAGAGAGAGAGAGAGAGAGAGAGAGAGAGAGAGAGAGAGTAAAGAGAAAGCAAGAAGAATGGGAAAAGGTAGGTGTGATTCTTAAAGGCAGGCCATTGCCAATTTGCCATTTGATTGATAGATAGATAGATAGATAGATAGATAGTATACTTTGGACAAAATTATTATGGCATTAGATTCTATTCTCTCTCAATCTCTCACTCACTCTTTAATAACAATATCAATAACAATAATAATATTCATATACTAAGTATGTATATTATTGGTGGTGTGTTGAAATGAAATGAATGCTAAAATATAATACAGCAATTGGAATGGTGGCCCAATCAACAACTCCCCCAACTCCAACTCCAACTCTCATTTCTGTTTTACTGCTCCATCTATAACTCATACACACTCTCTCTTCTAGTTCTTCCCCTCTCTCTCTCTCTCTCTCTCTCTCACTCCTATTTACCTCCACCCTCCTCACTACCTTCATTCTGCCCTCCTCTGCCTCTTACGTACGTTCTCTCTCTCTCTCTCTCTCACACACACACACACACACAGAGTACATATGGTTGCAGGAGGAACTATGAATCTCCAGTTCTGAAGCTTCAATCCAACTTCATACATACATACTTTTGCATGAACTAATACACTTTTATGATTTTTGTTTTTATTTTTTGCTTCTGCATGTTTGCCTCTCCTCACTTTATCTATCTACCTTCAATTTTTATTTTTCTGCTTCTTTCCTTTGTCCTTTCCATTTTGACCGTATTTATCTTCCTTTCCTCTTTTTTTTTTTTTTCCTGCAATTGTTTTTTTTTACTGATTTTATATTCACTTGTCAAAAATTACTTTCCGGTTTCGAAAATTTTAATTTCATAATATATAGAGAAAGGAGATGGAGTGACTTTGGGGGTTTGGTTTGCAGGCAGATTAACGTTCGTGTACATGGCGGAGGTGATTGTCAAGCGGCCTTCGCTAACGTGCGCGGTGGGCCCCACATCTTCCTTACTCCTGCTCCTTGCTCAGCTCCTCTGGTTTCAACAGGTTAATTTTATTATAAACGTCATAATAATATTATTTGAGTCGGTTTAAATTGTAATATTATTTGAGTCGGTTTAAATTGTGCATTTAGATTAAATATTTTTTCCTTATCCCAACCAAAAGCTAATTTCTTTAATTTTTTAAGTAAAAATAAAAATAAAATCCCATTTGACTGGTCAATAGTAGACACAAAACGGATAGTATAATAATAATAATAATTTATTAAAAATCGCCTTTATGAACATTTTCTTTGTATATAATCCGACTCGCCAAATTTATGGACATTTTATTTGTAAAAAAAAAAAAAATTAAGTTATGGAGTATATATTTTTAAAGTCACGTGCGGCGTGCGTGCGTGGGTGGATAAAGTGGCGGACCTGAAAAGGGATGTTAATTGGGGAATATACGGTTTATTGAGGTCCGTCCGGGTTGGGACCGTAATAATAATATGGGCTGCACAAAACCTATAATAGCCTACGTGTCCCCTGCCTCATTTATTTATCATCACCCCTACTTGGGAACGTTACCTACACTCTCTCATATATTTTGTAATAATTTATTTTCATTTTTTTATCTGTTAATTAAATTTACTTTATTAATAATGTTGACAATTTAAAAAAATATATATATCAATATTTCATTATTATTTTTTGTACAATATTTTATTTATTGAAATTATTCCTTAGTCTTATTATATTCTTTTTCTTTTATTTTTTTAAAATTACTAACTAAATTTTTAAAAAATATTTTATTTTTTTATAACTTTTCTCACTTTTAAATAAAAGAGTATTTATTTATTTTTAATCTAGCTCGAATGAATTTATTTTTACCAGACAGAATGAGTATATCGTTTTGCCCTTTATAGTGTGTAAAATAAATAAACGACTAGAAATTGGAAAGGGGGGATTGGGGTGGCCGCAAGTGGTCCTATTTTATTTTGCTGACTGAAGTGGGCATGCTATTTTCTTGGTTTGGTGAAGTGAGATTTTGTTATTATAGTTGGGCATGGGTATGGGTGTGTAATAATAGCATTAATTAATAATAAGGTTCTTGACTTATGGATGGTAAGATTGCAAGCGAGGTTTAATTATAATTGAACAATAATAATAATAATAATTGGTGGTGTCGTGTCCCTTTGCTTAAGAATGAATGAATAATGTGTGTTGGGCCCCATGTTGTTGTAGTAGGCGTTTGAGTAGTGAAGAATTTATGATAACTATTTGGGATGGGCAGAGATATTCGGATATTCCATTTGGATATTTCGTGAGATGGGCAGAGCTAAGGCTCTTTTTGGCCATCGATTTTTACTCTTGCACTATCAAATCAAATACTAATATTAATATATATATATATTTTATGTTTTTCAAATTTTCAAAATTTTAAAACTTTTCCAAAAATATTTATCTAAATAATGGAGCCTAATTGTGTTCATTTGGGTCTGATTTTTATTTTGACTCTGTTTTGTTTGGGGCATTTGTTATGGTAAGAAAGTTGCAATCTTGGCCTTAGAATGAATGATGATTGATGATTTTAACATGACTAATTGAATGAAATGTAGCTCCAAAATATAGCCAAACTGTTGATGATGATGAGCCCAATGCAAGGGGAAGAGCCGTGTGACGCTGAGGGAGGAGACGGTGATGACAACGACGACAATGGTGACGACGAAGTTGACGGTAACGGAGACGAGGGTGATGGTGAGGGAGGCGTGGAAGAAGGTGCCCCAGGGAACAACCCCAATAGCAATGGAAGCGCTAAAAAGAGTCGAGGAGGAAGTGGCGAAGGAGAGAATGATGATGAAGACGATGAAGCGGCAAATGGGCACGATGATGATGAAGATGGAGATAATGACGACAATGGCGCTGAAGATGACGACGACGATGACGAAGATGGAGACGACGATGAGGAGCCTGATGACGAGGATGACGACGACGAGGAAGATGAAGAAGAAGAGGAGCTACAGCCTCCCAAGAAAAGAAAGAAGTGAAGCTGGGTTTAAGTTACAGACTTACAGTCCAAACCCCTTTTTTTAAAAAGAACTATGGAGAATTTTAATCAAGGCCTATGACCATTTCTGGGAGAGACTGATTATTTAGATCAATCACCATTTTTATGTGGATGTTTTTAATCTAAATTCCTCTTGGGATGCTTTCTTCTTTGCAACTATGATTTTGATTTTGCATAATGGAATTGACTAAGCTTCCAAACAGAAAATTTCACTTCACAGTAAAGGAATTAATTACTATATATATATATATATATATATATGTATACCCAAAGATGGTCCTGTGCCTAATAAGCCTTTCTGCACCTTCGAATAAAGATACAGTGAATATGAAATTGAATAATTTTTATATGCTGTACATGGCTAGCATCAAATTAAAGCAGCATAGAAATTCTAATTCCATGGAATCTTATTCTCGAAGTGCATAAATCAACTTTATCAAAGCTAAAAAAACTGGAAGGTAGAGAGTGCAGCTAAATAAGCCAAAGATGCTAAAGGTATCGACCCTGTACAGATAACCATTATAATATGTACATATTGAATAGAGCACAGGGAGTGTCCGGAAATTTTACCCTCGTTTAAGTGTATTTACACGCAGATTATGTTTCATCCGGGTGAGAATGCTTTAATCTTCGATGAAGCTCGGCAGACAGTGGCTAGATAAATGCTACAGAGAAATAAATATGACGATAAGTTATATTTGCACAAAAAAGCATGTAAAACTGCATGAGGTGCATTCTACACACATTTGTTTCATGACAGTAATTAGAGCATTGTTGCCGGGACATACTTCAAAAAAAACAACAAACCCGTGCTTCCAAGGAAGAAATCAAACAAAGATAAGGAACAACCATGAATCCCAGAAGCTATATTAGAGCTTTAATAAGAGATCTCTTGCGGAATATCTTTAGTAATGAGGAATTATGATTTTTGCAACATCAGAACATTGTAAAACAGGATGATGAGAAACATAATAAAAGTAAATACAACTCTAAATCTACCATTTAAACCTCCAAAAGTTCAATAAATCAATTCAATTCAGCTTATGTAATGCGGATCTATCAGAAACATTTATATACTAGATCAGCTGGCATATCAATCACACTGTCTGTATCTGAATATCTAATTGCTGTCATATCACTTCAAAGAAAGAGTAAAACTTACCTAAAAACGAGATCGAAATTCAAATCACTTTTTTGTTGCATCAATAAACATAGCACGAGTCCAATGTTCCACATCTTCGGTTTGTGATGGAGGAGGTGGCAAAGGAGGATGTTCAACAAAATCCCAACCTTCTATTAAGTTTTCACTCTTTCCCGACTCAGAAAACTCGTTAAGATAAAGATAACTGGCAGCGGAGCTAGGAGGATAATTAGCATATGCATTTCTCTGCACAAATGGTAAACAGATATAGTCAGATGTAATATTCAGTAACTTGAAACAGTACGCCCTCGTCAAAGTATTATTTTAATATTCAATAAAAGAAAATCTATAACTAAAAAATATGATTTCTTCTGGCGAGCAAAATCTCTTATAAAGGCTGAAAATGCTTAAATTTAAAGATTGGTTGTAACATGTGGATATCTATAGATGAGAATGAGCAGGTGATGTGCACATGTAAAGATTACAATATATATGTCATTCTAGATGGTGATAAAACTTCATCATCCTAGGAAGGCATGCCAAAAAATACTTATAGTTATAAAAGGGGCAGATATAAGCAAATTTGTTGTGCCACATTGACACATAGAGATCAAAATGAGACCATCGGCCACAAGGAAGATCTGCTTGCATACAAATTATTTATATGTGATACTAGCCAGTAGTAAGTGTTTATATCCTAGGAAGACCTTGTTTTGAGATTTTAATGAAATTTCCTTGAGCTGCTCCAGTCAACATCCTGAATTGAGATAATTCAAATTAATAAAAAAAACCCGCATCCATTTTGAAAGCAGAAAACCAAAATTGATTATCTTTAGGGGTCATGTAACAGTATTACAGTTTATTACTTTCATCCAACATAATTTAAACTTCGGATTAATTCCATAGTACTCTACAACCTAGCAGTAGCTGATTAATTATGAATATAATATATCAGAGCTTTTCAAGAAATGCAACCCGACCATTGCTTCTCCCTTTACCATCCTTGCCTCAGACAAACTTCTAACTAAAAATAATAATCGAGTAGCACTAAGAAAAATTCAAGTGAGAACACTTTAGAAAATGATAGTAAAGCATGATGCTAGATGGAACTTCTGCTGCTTGATAAACGGGACGTAGTAGCTAACACATTTTATATCATATCCATTATGTTCATAATAACTTAAAATATTTCCAAAGAAATTCAGATAGTAACTAAAACATATACCGCAGTAGGCAGTGCATGAGCACTCTCAAATAAAGTGCTTGATGAACTGACCGACTCCACATTCCATATAGATTTATTCAGCTGTTGGCTTGGATTGGATGACCTGTTACGACAAATTGATGAAGAACAATATCAAGAAAGTCACCTCAATAATGATTTGTTGAAGTTAATTTGAACTTGTCAAGGGACATGCTCTACTCACCCATTACAAGTTAAATAATCCTTCAAGGATAAAAATATGTTACTACCATTCACTAGAAGGGTGTGTTCTTATATCAAACTTCATCCAATTTCGACTATTCATCAAAAATTTTTCTCCCAAAAAACATCAAATCAAACACCTATTTTTTATTTTTTATATCATACTTAAATTCAACTTTACATTTAAAATATCGTATCAATAACTATTTTTATCACACATACAACTATTCAAATTAAAAAATTTACTATTCAAATCTCAAACCAAAATCCAAACCGCCAAACAAACACACCCAAAATGTACATCCATTGAATGCACTAATCAACATTCAGAAGGAAAAATATTGTGTTTTTATACCTTGATGATGCCATTTTCAAAGACAGAGCAGCTCGAACTTCCTTTGTAGAAGAAAGTGTATTCAACACTCTTGAAAATGCCTCAAAAGTAGAGGCATCTAAAGGAACTTCCAAAGATAATGAGTTATAGCAATATGCAGTGATGCATGCCACACTTTTCTTAAGGAGTGATATGCCTTTCTGCAAATCCTTGTGTCTTTCAATAGAATGTGGAGAAGCAGATGAATAATTGAAACTACCACCAGAGGAATCTAAACGAGGCTTTCTTTCCGACTCCATTGAAGCAACACCAAAATTACTAGAACTTTTGTCAGACCATGAAGTTTCACCCCCAGCAGTGCAAAAGTTTTGGTGAGGAATAAATAGCGGATATTCACTGATGCATAGTAGAAAGTAATTTTAGTAACAAACAGCCATGTTATCAATTAGAAGCCACAAATCCCAAAAAAATACCTTCGAGATGATGGACGAGCATCCCAATAAGAAGTACGCTGCCATATTCGAGAACAGGAACCCTGATGTGCAAAAGAAAAAAAAAACATGAGAATCCTCCAAACCAATTATGTTGGGATGAACCAAAAGATGTTGAATAGATGAAATACTAAAGCAACTAGTAGCTGGATAGCTCTGAAAAGAATAAAGACTAGTTACTATACAGCTCAATGACTGCATTAACAACATGGCATGCCAACATCTACAGAACACAATCATTTGTCTCACAATTAAAAACTGATCAATTATCAACATATCATATTCAAACCACTCCTAAAACTATCCAAGAGTTCTTACATTGCATTTTGGGGTGTAAAACAAGGTTCAATACAAAATTCTAAGTAATGCTTAAAAACATGAGCTTGAAGGTAGTTCTTACATACCGCAAATCCAGAGTTATGAAGAGCAGGAGCACCCACAACAGGGACAATAATACTTAGGAGTTGCACCATGTAGCTGATTTCAAAAGTTGAGCACAAAGAGTTAGTGCATGAAGACAAATTAACAAACAATCTGCTTTGGAGTATCATGTTAAAAGAAACACATGTTTGAGTGTGTGTAGAATGTGCAATAACAAGTAATCAGGATTTAAACATGGCGTAACACATCTTACACAGGATGATCAGGCTCGTGATTAATTACGATCAAGAGAAAATTTCTTTAGAATGAGAAGCACAGCCCTCATGAGTTACAACTGTTAAAAATGATTACTTATTCAATGATTTTTTAAGATTAAAGTAAAAGCTCATGCTATCGAATGAGAATTTCCACTTGATCATCCCAAATCACTTTGTCTCAATAAGATTTACCCATTGTTTCACCAACTTGATTTACAGTTATCCAAACTTTCTGGTTAACATATTTCAGAAATGATAACTAGGTATGCAATTTCAGGCTAGATTATAGAAGCTCAAATCCCACCAGACACTGACGACATAGACCAAAAAGTATATACTAAAGGAACCATGAAGCTAATCTACAAAGAAAATACAATAATATATATAGATCAAAGTCCACATTCATCAAAAAGGCCAGAGTATGGGAAAAAGGGATCAATATATACTCATCAGTAAAAGTATGAACTAAGCTTGCAGTTATAGCTTAATAATTTCATTCACAGCAACTTATACACACATACAGGTGGTATTTACCCCAAAGAGGCTGCAAGCTCTTCAGACGGTACTGAGTGGGGATCTAAACCTCTTGGCAAGCGCGCATTGCAAATGGTATCATATTGGCCACTATACCCTTCATTATTTTCACCATCTACACTCACCTGCAATGATATTGACATGTTAACGGAAGCCACATCAGGAAAACTAGTAACATGTGTTAGATGGAAATTATAGCGACAGCAAAGAAATATCCAAGTAAGAATGGAGAATCCACACACAATGCTTGACAAATAGGTCCAAATCAACCTTTGATGTGAATGCATTTCTACAGCAGAATTTATACAAATTAAACAAGTCTAAGATCCCCAATTGAAAAAAGGATCACCTAGCATGCTGTTATAAATAGACTCCATGCCCTTAAGAGTTCAGGATTGGAAAGAAAGCTAGTGCCTAGAGGTTGAAGATGGAAACATCAATTCAAAATCTTAAACTGCATTGTAACAATAAGCAAGTTCAAACCAACTAGGAGATGATTACAACAATCCAAATTAACAAATGGTAATAATTTCAGAAGTACCCTGCGTTGCGGAAACAGCTTGCATATCTGCTTTATAATAACAGATTGCTTGTGGAGGCGTTCAGAGGTAATTGCCATCTGGAAATTAAATTCAAGAGCAATTAATGTCTCGAAGAATAGAAAGTAAAATTTTTTATGTCAATCCAACAGAAAGATATCAACATATGTTGAATTTTTTTAGTAACATATATTAAAAAATGAAAAGAAACAAATTCTTCAAGTTTTGCTTACAAGTCCCAATCTCTGTGTGCCAATAAGATTAGGGTAATACTTCTCAAGTTTTTCCATACGATTTTTTTCCAACTGCAATTACATGTCAAACAGAAATCCAATGCATCAGTAGCAGAAAACCAAAAAATGAAATGATCAAATAAAATATCTGGAGGGATATGACCCAAAACCAGCTGTCAAAAGTTGACTAAAAGAAATATGTAATACCACACGCATAGCTGATTCAAGCAATTCGTATTTGACTTTAAGATCATGAGACTTCTTATCAATCTGAGCACGCCCTGAAAAAAATTAACCATCCAACCGAAAATAAAAAATTAAATGTGATAAGATTCAACGTAACAAAAACAACTTTAGTCAACCTTCAGAAACTTGTTCTTTACGACGCTGGAGCTTATCTCTCAGTTTGGCCAATTTCTCATTTTGAAGTACCCTCCAACTGTGTTGATCATCAGCCTTGCCCTAGAGATATTGAAAATACAGGCACTATGTGAAATTGCTACGTCTAACATAAAGCAAAAACACAGCATTCAGTGCAAATAATTAATACATGAAACAAGAATTAACATCCTCAACACAGACAATTTGATGAATATGGCTCCGTGTGTCCACAACACATGATTTGAATGGAGCAATGTAAATACATAGTTTTGAACTCCTCAAAACTCTGACAAGTTTCACGAAGATGATCTATCCTCTGGATTTCGTACCAAACAAAAACTTAATTACAGGGATATTGTTGTTGATACAAGTTTCACTTCATCATAAGTTAATTGTAATAAAATCACATCCTTCAGCCTCTAATTTAAACTCAGTGAGTCCACATCAACATACCTTAGCGACAAGAACTTGCGTCAATTTTGAATAGAGCGCATCCCTCTTACTCTTCAGCAACCTCAACCTACAACTATAATCATTCAACCTGACCAAAATCCCACCAATCGTGAATCAATTCAAGAGATCAATGCCATATTCTCTGCAGTCAACCAAACCGAGATTTTCTAGTATAATGCTGAAACATACCTGTAATTAACGCAAACGGTGCATATAGAAGCGAGATTGGAGTTCTCGCATATAGCACAGGTACTAGTCTTCCTTGTCGCCATCATCAGCTTCGGAAACTTTTTACTACGAGGGCTAAAACTCCATCACCTGAAAGCGGAGCTTTAGCAGCTTGTTGAACATAAATCAGAAGCGGCAATCAGCGTAGTTCGTGAAGAATCGGTGGCGATTTAATCGGAACTACAAACAGCTGTTTAGGGCAAAATAAAACTTCAAATCCAATAAATAGTTTTCTCCGAGAAGGAAACAAGTTTTGCTTGCAGAGGTGCGCATGTACGTAAATATCCCTCTGTTTAGGTTATTATTATTATTAGTATATTTTAAAAACAAACAAAAAGTTGAAATAATTATAGATTTGATAACCAGAAAGAATATCTATTCAAAAATCATTTAACGTATTTAATATTTTCTAATTTCTAATTTAATTACAGATTTATTATGAATATTATAATTTCTTAATTACTTGTGCTGGATTAAATTATCATAAAATACTATTTATGTTAAAAGAATTATTTTTTATTAGTAAAATTAAGATATTTTAGACAAAATAAATAATTATATATAATAATCTATTAAAATAAATATTAATTTATTTTATTATGCAATTATATAATTTACTAAAATAAATAATTATCCAACTCTTCTGTTAAAATAAATAATTTATAATGTCATTCCATAAATAGATACACTCTTATATTACCATATTTAAATTCCTCTCTTCTCTCAAAGGCCATGCTCCCTCACTCCCGTTGGAACGATCGAACGTTTGCTTTTTGCACATAAATTTTTGATTGGTGTAATATAAAAATATGGTAAATTGAAAGAATATTTATTATATTAAATATGTAGTACAATTACTAAATTAGAAAATGGTAATAGTAGCCTTTCAATGGGACGAAAGGAGCATATTAGTATTGTTAATTTGTCATCCGCCAAATCTAATAGCTTGAAAATTAAACAAGAAGCCAAATCACACAACATATATCCAAAATTTCGTGATGAAATGGGCAGTATACCAAACTTCAAGCAATAGTATACTGCAGCACAAAATTTTTTATCACATTACTATACCGGAAAATAACTATAGAATATAACACCATATCAAATTTGTAATATACCATATTTTTAATATTTTATAGATACACTATACTTTTGGAAGATTCAGTATTTAGGATATGTTGAAACTCATATTATTAATACAATACATACTATACATTATACAATAAAATTTATATAAAAGACATCCCATATATATTTAGTAGATCAAAACCAGGATCAGAGCAAAACTATAACAAAATCTTCCAATGGTAGACTGTAGAGTGAGTACTTCATAAACAGGCACGCCATTGATAGGACTGTGGAACTCAGAAAACTCGGAAGGTATAAACATGGAGGAAGAAGGCTCACATGAACTTATCTCGGATGGTCTTTTTAAGCCTTTCCATTTTGGGGATGATTTTGGGATTCATTAGATCCCTCGCTTCTTTAAGCAGAGTCCCCTCTCTGCTCGAATGGTAGGCGTCAACGACGATCCCGATCCAGTTATAAAGGCGCTCGGGAGTCCTGCAAGAAAAGCGACTACTCAGTGAGCAACATAGCCAAGTCTGTATGGAACTAATTAATACATAGGATTGGTAGAAAATTCGCATCGGTTATGGTTGAAGGGCGTACGTGTAAAGGGAGTCGAAATCCTTCCCTTCGATTTCTTCTCCTGGTGTAAAAGCATCATTCAGAGCACTCATACACTGTTCTGGATCTTCGATTGTAAGCAGATACTTCAGTATCCGAATTTCTTTAGGCATAAGCCTCTGAAGATTACCGGAAGCTGTTTTGTATAAATGGTATAGAACATCTTTCGCCTGCGAAAAGGGGTAATGAGTCAATGCAGTTTTCGAAACAACAAAAATGAAGGATTAAGAAAGCGGGATTATTAAGTTTTTACTTCATCTTTCACCATGTCTGTTTCTTTTGCAGCAGACCAGGCTTTTGTAAGCATGAGAACAAGAGCCGAATCGAGTTGATTCTTCTCTGCCAGATTATCAATTTTCCGGCAAGCAGCTTCTACTGAAGGAGAATTGATTATATCTTGAAATTTCAACTCTGCGGCATTCAGCGCTTCCAAACTTTCGGTTGCATTGTCATGTGCTTCTATGGCAGCTAAGCATGTATTCCCAAGATTCGCCACAGCTAATTACACGAAAGGAGAAATCTTAGCAGCTTTGTTTTACACAAGACTAAGAATTAATATTAAACCTTCGATCCCGACATTCTCAATTTGATACAAGGCTGTCTTATTCGAGACACGAAAGAGTTGGAAGCAAATAATGGCACAAAAGAGGCGGAGGAAGTAAAACCCTTCATGGACGGCTTCCATATACGTTTAAACAATACAAATCAAATCATTTTGATGAATCATTAGTAATTTAATACGAAGAAATCTGCTCAAAAAACAGGCTTCTCTTATCACAAGAAACAGGTAAGTCCGACCAGACAAGAAAACCTTGAGAAAGCTACACGATTCATGGTGTATTCCTTCCTTTAGTCCTAATTCAAATACCATTTTGTTTGCATAAGAGATATGATGTACCATACTAATAATTAAGAATCAAACTCATTCGATACAATTTAATTAACAGTATTGGAAACAAGCAAGTCTCACCGGCTTGTTCTTCAGGATTGTCATAGTATGATTCTGCTACAGTGTGAAGATGAACAAAAAATTCTTTTGTGAAGTCTTTTCGGCGCTTTGCTACAATTTCAGCCATCTCAGATGGCGAACTTCTGAGCATATCAAGAAGCTCATTGTGCCTCTGGACATCTTCATCTATCTGGAAGAAATGAACACAAACGATTTATTAACTGACAGCCATTTAGAACTAAATCATGATAATATGTAATCATGATGAAGAACCTTGTGATGTATTAAACTATACTTAGCACTGAGAAGTCAAAATTCAAGATATCAGCAGCCATTAATGGCAATCCATTTCACAATGGGAATATGCAAAAGATGCAGAAGAACAAAACTTAAACCTCCTTCAGCTTCCTCGCTAGCCGATGTAGCCTGTGCTTCATTTCAGGATCACTCTCACTCTCTGCACGAGTTTGGCATCGATCGTAGAAGTGTGGACGAATATTGTCCCACTCCTTGCTAAACGTTAACAGCCTTCTCCAATCAGTTGGTGTGGGCTTATCAATCATAAAGACCTGAATTAGTTTGTCACAAATCCGAATCATTTTGTGATCATCCAATTGTTCGCTAGATGCATCACTATTTTCAGTATTTTCTGTAACAGCTCCAGAGGACACATGGTCTTGCACAGATTCATTTGTTGAAGCTTCCGAATGACCAACTCCTACTGCAAGAGGAGAACTGCGTGACAAAACCTTTCGACATGGAAGAATTAATCCTGCAACCAAAAGGAGTTAGAAAAAAAGAAATTTCAATTCAAGTGTTTCGAGGACTTAAAAAACACAAAACTCAAAGAAATTGAAATCGAAACAGCAATTCACTCATAAACTTTGCATCGTGCAAAGAGAAGATAACAAATCCAAGATAAATAATAGTTCTTAAGAAAAATTAGGGAAAATTATAGACAAAAACCAGATAATGTTCTCAAAATCGCCACAAAAGCTCCTCAATTAAAGAAAACATAAGTCGACGAGATAACAATAGCACAAACTTGCTACACTATCATGCTTACAACAAAATTGCGACAATTTACCAAACCTGAGGATTTTGAAGGAATTCTGGGAATTGTCTTCCTACAAATGAAAAGAGGAGAGAAGTTTCTGGGAGCTACGGTTAAGGACCGGACAGGAAAAGCCGCATAATAGGAGTTGAGAAAAGGAGAAGTAAGCTTCATCTTCGTGGCCCTGCGCCGTTGCCTGCTGCTGCTGCTGCTTGCGAGGTCTAAGAGAAACAAGACCTCGGAACAGGGATTCGTCCAGAAATATTGATGTAATTCAGTTGGAATCGCAACGACGGCGGACGGATATGGCTCCCAATACCGACGAACACGTATATGCGTGTTTCTGTCCGAATCGAGCTCCAACCTGTTCAGCCGCTCTAAGGGGACGAAGAAGGCAAAATCTGGGGGACACGAAAACGAGGCTTGAGGAAAATGAAGAAGATAACTGCACGGCAGACGGACGAAGACGCCGGAGGGGGGTTTGGAATTGGATTGGGGTTTTATTTATGATAATTTACTGGAGTAGTCTTTGTTTTCAATTATAATCCAAAATAATTCATTTTCGCCTCATTTAAATTCTGTCATAAATAAAATATTAATAGTATTTAAATTTTAATTGAATTATTTATCTTATAGTATTAATATTTTTATATAAAATAGTTCTTTAATTATTTTATATAGTAACAAATGATCTCTTTTATTTGCGAGAATTTATACTAATACATAAGATAATACAACGTAATTTTATTTATCAAAATATCATTTCATATCCATACTGTCATCAAGTCTATAAATTCAGAAAGAATACACAATTTTCTCAAAACCATTCTCAATATATATTATCGAATAAAAAACAATAATGGGCTATATTCTTCGCCATTTGAATATAAAAACAAACCAACCAAAATGGGCTACCACTACTAAGCCCACTAGAGAAAACAAGACCACTTCCTAATTGGCTCACACTGGTAAGCCCATTAGAAAAAACATTGGACTAAATTGGGCAGGGACCGCGCGGACGCAGGCCCCCACTACCACAAATTATGACGTAGGCTCGACCACTTTGGGCCGACCTTAGACGGACGCCCCTCCGTAGTGCAATGGAGGTCGTCAATCTAGGCCATGGACCTTTCTGATCGCCCATTGACCCCGTCCAGGTAAGTATGTAATTCGGTACCAGTCCAGCTTTATTTATAGGCAGGATAAGGTCACCCTCTTGCTTCTACTTCCGATGTGGGACTCTAATTGAAAACATTGTAGTTTGCTGTAACGTATGCAAATATTGCTTTAGCGTGTAAAATATTTTCTCCTTTAATTAACTAACCGTGATTAGAAAATAATGCTTAATTATATTAAAAATAATAATAATAATAATTACTTTTCTGTGTGTTGTAACCCTTGCTTTTAATTTATTTAAACCTCCTCAGTTTTATGATATGTAATATTCTCTTCTTTTCAATCTTTTGCTTTAATCATCCTTTAACTTTCACTTTATTTATTTATTAATCTATTAATTTTATTGTTAAATTATCTGGATATAACATGCTATAAAATTATTATTTATATTGCTTATATTTTGCAGTTTTTCTATTTTTGGCATGTTTTCGTATTATTTTTCTATTTTTTTCCTTACAATGTAAATTTCTTTTATACTAGATATTGAATTTTAAATTCATTATTCACCTTATTTTTTTTAAAGAAAATATCAAATCAAACACTTATTTTTTATTTTTTATATTATACTAAAAATTAATTTTATATCAACACATATTTATATCATATCATATAATTATTCAAATTCAAAATTGTTAATATTTAAATTCCAATTCAAAATCCAAATCGCCAAAACAAACACACCCGTTATATCGCTAGTACATTTTTATTTTCAATTGTTTTTTAATGAACTTATTTACGTACCAAAATTATTAATGGACCCAGTATTTAATAATCACTGGTCATAGTTGTATACGCTATTAAAGATCGACTGAAAAAAATAAAATAAAAATGCTAAACTATTTATTTACTATAAATCATTTTATATTTAATAGAAATTCAAATATAAATTTCACGTTATCAAAAATAAATAAATAAATTAAATATAAAGCATCTTGTCTTCATATCTCTGAACACAGCCTTTGGTTCAGCGAATACCTCCTTTATTTTTCTTTATATTTAGTATTATTTATTTATTTATTTTGTTTATTTTGGTCTTCTTTGTCTTCCCTAAACAAATCCTCCGACCGCCGGCCCTACCCCAATCCGCCACCTTCCGCCACCGCCGCACCATAACACCTTCCCAGCGACCGGCCATCTTTCAGCTCCGGGCCTCACAGTAAGCTCCTATCTAACAAATTTTATCCTCGGCTTGTGTCCGACTCCATCCGTGCCTCAATTCGCCGTCGCAGTTCCCGCCGGAACTTAAAACCTTGATTTCAATCTCGATGCGGCCCTCTCACTCATCTATTCCCATTCCAATCGCTTAGCGAGCGTAAAATCAATCGATTTCTCGGTCGTTTTTATAAATCTGATTCCACTGCCGATTCATCCTTGATATTATCTGGAGAATCATGAATGCTACCGTGTTACATTGTTCCTTTGTCTCCACCGCTTCGAGGAGCAATAGCTCGAGTCTCTCACCGTTTTCGACTGCTCCTCCAGTAAATAAGAGGAAGGGATTGTGTGTGAAAGTCACCTTAGCTGATACCGGACACTCCGGTGATGACTCTTCCTCTTCTTCCTCTCAGTCGAAAAACCCGCTCTCCGCAGTGATTGATCTGCCGCGAACCATCTGGAAGCGAACTTTGAGGCCGTTGAACGACTTCGGTTTTGGTCGGAGAAGCATATGGGAAGGAGGCGTAGGGTTGTTCATTGTTTCGGGAACAGTTCTATTAGCTCTCAGTCTGGCTTGGTTGAGAGGTTTCCACTTGCGGTCGAAGTTTAGAAAGTATTTAGCTGTATTCGAATTCGACCACGCCAGTGGCATCTGCACCGGAACGCCCGTTAGGATTCGAGGTGTGAATGTTGGCAATGTGGTTCGTGTCAATCCTTCTTTGAAAAGCATAGAAGCGGTAGTTGAGGTGAGATGAAGAAGCAACTTTCATATGCTTTGTCTACTTTAAGATTTTGATTCTGAATTCAAATGTTATGTGATCTTTGTATTTTTGACAATGTTGTTTATAGGTTGAGGATGAAAAGATTATAATTCCTCGGAACTCAGTGGTTGAAGTGAACCAGTCTGGTCTGCTCATGGAAACCCTCATTGATATTACTCCTGGAAATCCCCTTCCTACGCCTTCTGTAGGGCCTCTCAGCGAGGGTTGTGCTAAAGAAGGATTGATTGTATGTGATCGGCAAAAGATAAAAGGGCAGCGAGGGGTGAGTTTGGATGAGTTAGTTGGAATCTTTACCCGCATTGGACGAGACATGGAGAAAATTGGGGTTGCCAATTCTTTTTCCTTGGCTGAGAGGGTCACTGCTGTTGTCGAAGAGACACGGCCACTGCTTAGAAAGGTGTGGTATGTGCATGTTAAGAATATTTCATTGTTGCTTTCATCATAATAAGTTTAGCTTCAGGGATTTGCAAGATTTTCACATTGAAAACTTATAGGTACGAGGTTATGATATTTTGATTGATTTTGTTGCATTCTGTAAAGCATGTTGTCAGTTGTCATCCATGCATGAGGAGGGATTCTGATATTGAAGTGAAACTGAATGCTTTAGTGTTTTGTCTCAGTTTTATTTGCATAATAATGTGTTTTTACAATGCTTAATTTCATAGAAAAGAAATTCTTCTTAAGGCCTTTGTTGCATGTCTCTGTTCTCTGGATCCCTATGTAAGGTGGCTTTCCTATAGTTGTGAGAGCTCTGATTGTTTCAGTAGAAGTGATAATAACTCTATGCGATTTTTTGAGTTACATTATTCCAGAAAGAAACTTGACACCAACTTAAAGATCTTTTTAGGATCATAACTTTTGCCTTCTTATACAAGTTAAGTTTATTGTGCAGGTTATGAGAAAACTGTTGGCCAACATTAATCAATTAAAAGCTGTTAAGCCATCTGGCTTATAGTTGATTATTTGTTTATTTATGTTTCAGCTTTCTCTAATGGAACGCTCCCAATTTAATTACTTGATGGAAATGCATTGGTCGTTTATAGATTATTTAATTTGTCAGTATTACTTCTTTTCTGATACTGGATATGGCTAAGGACATAAGGGAATTTGTAATATTAAAAACTTTGAATATTGGTCATTGCATGTGTGGTGAGAAATAAAGCATTAGCAAGGATTCTGTTTGTTTAAGCTGAATTTTGTGTGCATAAGGTTTTTAATTATGCTTACATATTGCTTTGCTCATTGTGCTTTTGTCTTCGATGGCTGGTTGTACTGAACTGAATAAACTATGGTTGGATGGTAACTAACCCTCCCAACTTGTATTGGGTTGGAGAAATGGCACTGTTAATCATGGCATCTCATGACAGATTGATCTTACAAAAAAAAAAAAAAAAAAAAGAAGAAAATTTGTGAATTGTTTGATGTAGTCAAGTAAGTTGAGTGTGTGAGCATTCAAAATAATATTTTTGATGAACTCTTTCTCAGGTCAAAGCCATGGCTGAAGATGTAGAACCATTGCTGGCTGAATTTAATGATAGAGGCTTGCTAAAGGAAGTTGAAAATTTGACCAAAAGCCTGACACTAGCTTCTGAGGATTTGAGGTAGCATACTATGCTTTTTTGCCTTTTAGGCTTTTTTGTTTTGTTTGTAATGTTCTCCAGATTTTGCATACATTCTTCCTTGTGCGTGGTTTTTTGACTAATTTTCAGCATCTCCTAATTCCTAAATATCTACTCATCTCCACCCCAAGGTAATTTGTTACACAGATTGTCAACATGAATTGTAGTATTCTAGGTACCATGGGTGGTTGGTGGGGTCTGGCAGTGTGTGTTAGTGGCTGGACTGAACATGCTGCTATACCCTAATTTAGTTCCTCAGGTAGTTTTATCTATCACTATCACTTGATTAAGGTCAGTCATTTCAAAATCATACTTGCTGAAAATGATAATCCCTTCCACTGGAACAACTATTTCAATATTCCAAATACATCTAGAGAAACAGCCAATACAATTGAAGGTTATACTTTGTAGAAATCTTGGGATCTGTTTGTTTGTATTTTCACTTGTTCTGAACCCTATATATAACACAGTAATAGTTAATTGTTCAACTTACTAGTGTTAAATTGGGATAATGTTTTTTTTTTTTTTGCATCCTCCAGACAGTTCAATGCAGGACTTGTGCACGATGGGCATCTGGTATACTATAATCAGCTCACAAATATTTTTGTTTTGAACTTTGCAGAAAGGTGAATTCAGCCATCATGACTCCCGAAAACACTGAACTAATTCAGAAGTCCATCTACTCCCTCATTTTCACCTTGAAGAACATCGAGGTAGCCCCAGCCCCATATCAGTATCATTTTATATCCTCTCTAGCATCTGTATCATTCTGGTCATCCTGTTTTGCAGAGTATAAGCTCCGATGTACTGGGATTCACTGGGGACGAAGCAACAAGAAAGAACCTAAAAATGCTCATCAAATCTCTAAGCAGGCTTCTGTGAAGAAAGTCAGACTAGGTTGGTTGGTTCTTCTTCTGTCTCCATAACCGACATCGTCGTTGTAGGCATATAGCAAACACATTGAAGGGATCTACAGTCTGGTGCATTTCTTCTAAAGGGTAAAAGTCTTCTCTGAAGTTTAGCATTTTCAGCAATGTAGTATTTCTTGAATTGCCACTTAAATTTTAAATAATATCTTTGTAGAGATCATATGTTGGAATTCATCCCGGAACTACTTTTGATTCATGCTAAACCAAACTCCTGTTGGCAATTTTCATGTCATGTACCTTAAGGGTGTGTTTGTTTGGGGGTTTGGATTTTGAGTTGGGATTTGAATAGTAAAAATTTTGAATTTGAATAGTTGTATGATGTGATATAAATAGGGTTTGATGTGATGTTTTGAATGTAAAATTGATTTTTAGTATAATATAAAAAATGAAAAATAGGTGTTTGATTTGATGTTTTTGGGGGGAAAAAATTGGATGAATAGTGGAAATCCACCAAAATCCTTCAAACAAACACACCCTTAAATAGAAGTTATTAATGGAATTTCTGTTCAATTTATTGATCCATAGCATAGTGTGTACGTACAAGTCAAGCAGCCAACAAAAAAATCAAAGAAAAAAAAAAGTTGTTGTTATAGGTCTTGCACTGGATTCATGTTAGTTAAACTAATGTCAACCAATTGTACTCCATGATGGAAATGGATCAGGTTGTTAGGCAGCCTTTATTGACTAAAATTGACCTTTAAAATATTATCATCACCAGCAGTGTTGTTTTGAATACATCACCTGAAGAAAGTACTTAATTTAGTACAGTAGTATTTGTTTGTATTCTATTTTTGCACGAGAGAGAGAGAGATGGAATAATTTTGGGTGCTTTTGGTCTGGATGCATATCCGAAGAGGTAGAACAGAATATATACTACTATATTTTTATAGATTGAAACATGATTTTTTAATTAAATATATATTTTAAAAATTACTATAATCTAATAAAATATACTATTATATAAAATTTTATACTATTTTCATTTCAATACAATATTCTTTATTATTTTTGTCAGTTTCAAAGTAATGGTCTTCTTACCGTAAATAATCTGTTATTCTAATTTTAGATTTGCTATCAATGGCGGCAGGATCATTCCTGCCAATCTTGAGAGTTGACTTGCAACATTTTAGGTTGTCAAAGTAAACACACATATATATAATGGCTCCCAAGTAATATATATTTTCGACAAGTAATTTTGCATAGAGACATTGCGATGATGATGATCAATAAATAGATATCCATATATATATATATATATATATAAGAAAAAATGTGTAATGTCGTTATACATAAAATGGCTGAAAAGAAAAAATCAATACAAAGAATAATATTTATGTATATATATAAGATATAATAAACTAAATTAAAATTCACTACATGTCCTATGGTGTAAACCAGAGAGCAAAATAAGAGCCAACTCCTTCTCGAACTCAAAGACTTCTTCTTTGCTTACACTGCACTCATAATCCTCGACGACGCCCTCCGGCACGACGACCCGCCGGCAAATAGGGCAAGCCGTGGCGGCCGCGGCGGTGGCGAGCCATTGGTCGACGCATTTCCTATGGAACCGATGCTTGCAGGCGAGCTGCCGGGCCTCGTCGCCGGCGCACAGGTCGGAGAGGCAGACGGCGCACGATTCGTCGTCTAATTGGGATTTGGGGGAGATAATGAATCTGGAGCTTCTTTGATCGACGAGAGAGATGAAGTTATGGCGGCAGCGGGTGCGCCAGTAGTACTTGAATCCGAGGCATATGGTGACTATTACAAGCCTCAGAAACGTAGGGATTAATGTCTGCAACAATGCCTTCACCTTCTTGTCTAATCCCATTAATAAGGGCTTTGTCAACACACCCATAGATAATCAATTTTTGTCTCTGAAAATTTTTGGGAGAGAATGTTGTTTGGGTTTGTTGGTGGCCTGAATTGAATGGAATTTGTGATAAGAGTTTCTTTCTCTATTATATATATATATATAGAGAGAGAGAGAGAGAGAGGAAGACAAGCTTGCATTCAAACTGTGTCGAATAAATATTACTACTAGACAAGTTGGGCACATGGGAAATATACATTGATTAAATATTACTCGCCAGATTTTTTTGTCCACTATACTGGGTATAATTAGTAAATAATTAAAAATATATTAGTAAAAATAATTATCATATAATAAAATAATTATAAATTAAAATTAAGATAAATAATTAATATAATTAAAATTTAAAAATATTATAAATTAAATTTTTAAAAATAAAATTAAAATGTATAATTATTTTCAAAAAAAATAATAATAAAATAAATGGACCAATAAAAATGGAAAAATGAATATAAAAAGTGAGAAGGAAAGAGTACTACTCATTGTATATTCTTCAATCTCAAATATATCTGTTTTATTTTTTTAGTAAAAATATTTTTTGTTTTAATAAAAAATACTCCTATATTTTATATAATATTACAAATAATATCATCATAAAATAAATGAATATTAAAGCAAAATTATATTTTTATCTTTCTATTCTATTTCTATTGTACTATTATCTATAAAATATCAATATATAATAAAATTCATGTAAAAAAGTAAATAGATATTTTTTTTTATCACAAAATATTAAATAAAATACTAATTTTGTTTATTGTATTTTAAAAAATTAATGTTTTTTATTTAAACACAATAAACCTACACTAATGAAACAAAATAAAATATCATATCATTAACGTAACAATCCAAGTTGTGGGGTTAGCATTTGTAAGACATGAATAAAGGGCTTTTCATCAATCACTCAGCGTCTCCAACATGTTTTTTATTTTTAAAATGTTAAATTAGTAATAATTCCAATTTCTATAAAAGCATTAATATTATACTTCCTGCCTCTATCCTACATAATTTATCTTATATTCTAATTTTCTCTGTCCCATCTAATTTGTCATTTTTTTTTAAAAAAAATTATATATAATTATATATTTTAATTATAACTCAAATTTAAAATTTTAGATTTTTTTTAAATTCTAATTAAATTATTTTAATTTGAATCTATAATTATTTTTACTAATACATTACTCTCTCCGTCTTACTTACTATTTTGTCCGTTCCAAAATAATAATCTCATTTTCATAACGTTGAAATGTGACTTGGATTTAGTGGTCTACCCGACCCTAAACCAAAGCGAAAGGGCTGTTTCAATTGGCAGGGTTCCTTTTGGGCTTATCCTAATTGATAACAAATAGGCTTACGATTTAGGGTGTTTTGGGTGCTTATAAATAGAAAATTATGGTTCTTAGTCGGATGACATATTGTAAATCTCTGAATCAGTATAATAAAATCTCTCCGGTTCCTGCCCGTGGACGTAGGTTGACACATCGTCACCGAACCACGTAAAACCTCTGTGTTCTTTATTTGTTTTCTTTCTCGTTTTCTCATAACAAGTGGTATCAGAGCCATATCTCATTAATTGAAGATGTCCTCGTATAAGTTTGATATGGAAAAGTTTAATGGGTCGAATGACTTCATGCTCTGGAAGGTCAAGATGAGGGCACTTCTAGTTCAACAAGGATGTGCGGCTGCGTTGGAGGGAGAAGACAAGCTTCCTAAAGACACGAAGAAGGAGGTAAATAAGGAGACTTTGGCAAGGGTTCATTCCGCGATCTTGCTGTCAGTCACTGATGAGGTGTTACGGGAGGTTGTAGATCAGACAACGGCTTTTGGGTTATGGAATAAACTGTGTGAGAAGTACCAAAACAACTCTCTCACGAACAGGCTATATCAGAAGCAACGTCTTTACACCCTCCGGATGTCCGAAAGTACTCAGGTAAAGAATCATCTTGATACCTTTAACCGTATCATTCTTGATCTTCAATGAGTTGAGGTTAAAGTAGATGATGAAGACCAAGCCCTAATTTTATTGTGTTCACTACCTGGTTCATATGAGAATTTTGTAGATACTATGCTATATGGTAGAACTACAATTTCTGTTAATGATGTGAAAGATGCCCTTATGTCCAAAGAATTGAAAAGAAAAGTTTCTCTGGAAGAGGGTTCTGGTTCAAGTCTGTTTGCAGGTAGGGGAAGACCACAGGAGAGGGGTAACGGGAATGGGAGGTCGCGTTCAAAATCAAAATCCTCTAGCAAAGTTAAGTGTTATCTTTGCAAGGAGAAGGGCACGTTAAAAGGGATTGTCCACAAAAGAAGGGAAATACAACAGTTGATTCTAGTAACAGTGGCAGCAGTGTTGCTGTGGTACAAGACAATTCTGATGATAGAGACTTTGGTGAAGTTCTGACAGCGTGTAGTGCTAGTACTGCTGATTCCTGGATTATGGATACCGGTGCTTCTCACCATATGACGTTCTCTCGTGATCTACTCACTTCTTTTAAGGAGTAGAATGGAACGGTGAAGTTAGGTGATGATGGGGTTCTAGCCATAAAAGGGAGCGGGGTAGTGCTGATAAAATTGCATGACGGTACTGTCAGGAAATTTGACTGTTGGTATGTTCCTGAACTCAGAAAGAATTTGATTTCTCTTGGCACCTTAGTAAGGAATGGTTTAAAATATCATCGTGAATGTGGGTGGGTGAAAGTCCTGAAAGGTGCGCTGGTAATGATGAAGGGAAAACTGCAGCATGAAATTTATTTTCTACAGGGCAGTTCAGTGATGGGAACGGCGGCGGTATCCCAGTCCTTGGATAAACATGATGACATGACAAATTTGTGGCACCGGCGATTAGGTCCATGAGTGAGCTAGGGTTGTCTGTGTTGAGCAAGCAGAGTTTATTTGGTGGAGATGTAATAGGTAAAATTCAATTCTGTGAGGCTTGTGTAAAAGGGAAGCAATGCAGGGTGAGGTTTAGTACCGGTCATCACACTTCAAAAGAAATTTTAGAGTATGTTCATTCAGATCTATGGGGTCCCTCTCCGGTGAAATCGCAGGGCGGGTGTTCTTACTTTGTCACTTTCATAGATGATTATTCGAGAAAAGTTTGGTTGTACTTTCTAAAGACGAAAGATGAGGTGTTTGGGAAGTTCAAGGAGTGGAAGACCATGGTTGAAAATCGGACGGGTAAACAGGTCAAGACTCTAAGAACTGATAACGGGTTAGAGTTCTGCAACGCTCCATTTGATGATTTCTGCAAGAAAGAAGGTATAGTGAGGCACAGCACTGTACGACACACACCACAGCAAAATGGAGTTGCAGAGCGAATGAACCAAAACCCTCATGTCGCGTGCTAGGTGT